TGTGCTATTAAGTAAAGCGCATACAAGTAACGTAACACTATAGTCTCAAGTATGTCGTATTATTTCGTATTATTTCTTGGCTTGGTTTCGCATGTCTTCTGTCTTGAAAGATAAGGACACGATACGCTACATGTTTCCAGCGTCTCAGTAGTATTGCAATTCGAGGCAAGAAGGGTGGTGTGGTCTTTTAAATAGGAAAGTTTGTGGTTTCAGCTACCTTCAGAAGGCTTGGTTTGTGATTGATTTAATTTGCGAAACGAGATCAACAACTGAGAGTACTTTAATACCCCATTGTCACATGTACATACATATTAAAGGTGGTCTTAAAGATAGCTAGTCAGACAGAGCAGTAGTGGGGGATCCAATTTGCATTATCGAACCGATTTATCTTGCCAAAATACAATGCCTCATTTGGTGCCAGAATTCAATTGTTGTGTTAGTTTGGTAGTGAATAAATAATTTGCCATATCGGTTCTGGCAGGCGTAATAATTACGTGATAAATATCATATTTAAAGCATCAGAACAAATACAAATCACGTCATGTCATTTGCGCAAGAAAGGAAGAACGAACAGCAGCCTTTGTACCAAACGGTCCCATTTTAGACGCTGTGTTTTGTAAATAATAAAATCTAGACCTTAGACCAACTGATACCTCGCAGCGTCATCATAATAATAATATTGAAACGTCAACCCCCGTCGAGCATTTATTTTATTTTTATTTCAAATATATGTACAACGTCTGCAAATTCCAAGTCGTATTGGATCAACTAAACTAACCTAAGCACCCATACATTCACTCCACTTCCAAATTGATACGATTCTTATTGAACATTGTCGACTGGGGAACAAAGGAATTAGGCGTATGCACTTATAAGGAATTAGATTAGGATTATTACGAAGCAGTGACTGACTCGGCCTACCCTCCGCCTCACCATCATCATCATCCCAAATTCGAGTTTAGAATTATTTTCTTGTGTTATGCTGGTGGTTTTGCTATTTGTGTCATTATCAAGACAGCGAATATGTGCTTCGTTGGGAATTTACAATAACCATGTTGCAAAAAATTGTTACGATTAAGGCGACCACACTCTCAAGATTTTCACCCCGCTCGTCTGTTATGCAAAATACGATAAACTTCGCCAACACGGCAAAAAAGAACTGGTTCGTCGGTTCGAGGAGTAGTTTAGTAGTTTTTGGATGCAAGAAGACGACGATTGTTCGTGCGTGGTATGATATGATGACGGTTGGTTTGTTGGAAGAAAAGCGTTCGTTTCTTGTTGATTGTAAACTGTGACCAGCGGGTGTATAATAAAATGTTTCATAAGTAAACCCAAGACTTGTCAAGTTTTACATGTATATGTGCATAGTGTACAAGGCCCTATGTCTGCATCCAACCAAGATTGAGGAGGGATGCATAAGTGCAATGTATTCGTCAGTTAGTAAGAGATTTTTATAAACTAAGCACCGCAGCAACAACTTCTCGGACTCCTTACCAGTTTCAGTTAACTTGTTTGGTTGATTCTACATAAGGAATTTTGAGAACTGAAATATTTATCAAGTTATGTTAGTTTCACTGGTAAATTTCCTGCCAGTTAATGACTTTGGTTTGCCTTGCTAGAAGGAGAGTTACATTGTGCTGCTGCTGCTCCTGATACATATAGAAGTATACGTAATAAAATTACCAATTAAAGTTTGGTTTCATATGTAAACTAATAAATTATTAAAGTCGAACGGAGAGGGAATTTGGTAGTGTAATTCAATTTCTGACTTTCTGAGCGATTTCGACGTTGTACGATTATTCTATATACATAGGATTATAAATTTACTAGTTCTGCTTCGTCCACCTTTTTGGTCTTGCTTTGATCTCGGAACGGTTTCGACACGTTGTTTCGCTCTTGATTGGTTTAGTTACGTGACACTTTAAGGTGAATTACACACATATCGATCGAATTCGACGCGACCATTTGCTTTTCTCCTCAATTCCGATAAATTCTACTCATTATGTACTTGTGCGCTTAAACACCTACTCTGGAAGAAATTATGTGACAGGATTAATTAGCAGATGGATTGTATGTATGTACAAGTCTTGAAATTTGTGGTGAATAAATCAGTCAAATTGTACCGTGTATCAAGATAGGACAGGACATCGATACGATACTGTACGACTCCCGACCTGTGTAGAAGACGAGTGACAGATAGTGGAAGAAACTTGAGTTTCCCATAACAAGTCAACAAGTGAAGTTTTCGCCGGCGTAACTTTATATTTTTTTGGAAAGTGACGTTAGTTTGTGACACTTAAAAAAGTGGTCGCCGTTTTGTTTCTGAGCAAATCTATTCATAGAGTTGTAGCATGGTTGTAAACTTTGACCCTTCTGACTTGTTAAAGTCCAACATGTTATCGGATACCACTTCTACTGCTGTTGGTGGTGGTGGTGATGGCGAAGATGCAGAAAATCAAGGTATTGTGTAAAAATTATTAATTATGAATTTCGATGGTGTCGAAACAAATGCTTAAATCCCTCATGTCAGTCAGTGTCAGTACGTCTCGTAGTGAAGTAGATATATTTATTACTTCACTGCTGGGTGTCTACTGTGAAGGAGATAAATGCGTTACCAATTTGATCTCTATTTCTTGCTTGCGTTGAGTTACAGTAGTTGGTAAATTTACGATTTACCATAAATTATCCCCCCACCAGAGTCAGTTATAATTGGTCCTTTTCAAATTTGCATTTATAATACTGCTCGGTGCTAATAAACCGTAACAAATTGTACTTACACGCAAGGGAAGGTGTTTCACATATGAATAAAATAAACGATGCTATGTATGCTGACGTAGTAGTCGTTTGTAGGTCTATTACTGCTCTATCTCTGTACCTAATTGGTACATGTATTGGTTTCGTTAGCGAAAATTCCCATACTCGTTCGGTAAAGGAGTAAAGAAAATTGTTAAATTTTGAATCATTACCGTATTCCCAAAAGTGTTATATTGGTCCTGTCGCTACGAGGCACACACACTATTAAATAGCCTCAAAAACTCTGTTATTACTGTACCCGTACTAATTTTCTACCCTGAATTGTTAGTCATTTCATTCCCGTCAATTTTGAGATATGGTCATTTCATTATGAATCAGAGTTGGTAATATGGTGGCAGTAGCACAAGGAAAGGTGAATATGAATAGTGCATATACAGTAAGTGAGACCAGTAATGTAAACTCAAGAACCATTTCGATTTTGTAATGCTGTGCTAACGAACAGTATATAACAATACTTTACTTTAGGCGTGTAAGGTCGGCAGTGGTATTTTTTATATAAGTAAAGTGTGGCTTGCCGCTGGTCTAGCTTGGTGTAATGAAATGGAAAAGTGTGTTTTAATCAATAACACACGGCCAGCAGGAGTAGGAGAGTAGTGGTGTGCATGGCTGTGTGATGTGCAAATAATTTTGTGCAAAGTGAACTAAATACATCAAGTAGTGAAGCGCTGCTTATTATGAGTTGGTGCTGTTCTATAATTTAAAATCTGCCAAGGAAAGCAAGCAAAGGATTTAGTGTCACTATTTATTTTGCCTACTTTGCCTAAAACTTGTGCGTGTAATTCATTCCAGGCATACATACATACATTGAAGAAGAAAAGTTAATAAGTTGGATATAGAGTTGTTGCGGCAGGAGAAGAAGCGTGTGTGTCACTTGTGTCACAGTGTAATTACATTCCTGGCTTAAGTATCGGTTGATGTCTTAATAAAATTTTAAACGAATAGTGACTCCTCCAAAGTTGCAAAAGTTTTGTCCAAGTGGTGGTTTGGTTTAGTGATCGTTTCAGTTTTGTGAGGTCGCACACTGTGAAAGTGGGCTATTAAATAAGCGTAGAGTAAAAGTTTGCAGAGTGAAATTCTAGTCAAATGGGAATATGTGGTTTTAAGGGGGCTCGAACTGTAACACTTTCACAGCCAGAAGATTCTGACTCAGAATCTAAACCTGCTGGAGGTGATCGTGTTTTAAGTAGTGGAGGGGATGATGCCATAAAAAAATCAGTTGGTAAATACCAAGTACAAAGAATATGATTAATTATTTTAGGAGAGATTGACAAGGCTTTGGTTTCGTGTTTAGCCAAGCTTTTGACAACTACTTAAATTGTTTTCATCACATATATGCATGTAGAATATTATAGGAGTATAAAAATTGATTATACTTTTAAGACCCGATATGTGGGTTTGATTTGTTTTGGCAATAATAGCACACTTATCGTTTATTTTATTGGGTAGTGTGTCATTTGCAATTCAATTATGGAAATATTCATGGCATTCTTTGCCAGTATTTTTTTACCATGTGGTAGTTTTTTATGCATACATAAACAAGCTGCGTATGTATGCATGTATGTATTACTTATCTCCGTAGCTTGTCCTGACTTTGAGAAACTGCGAAATAAATACTTTCTGACGGCTTGATTCCCATATGTGGACAGCTTACGTACGAAAATGGGTGTTGTTGTCTTCCTAAGTACTTAAAGATGTAGGTCCATGTTAGTTAATAACGCTTTGCAACTTTTTCACCACCAATTGTGCCCTGTATTGTACACGGTATGCGTAAAAGTGGAGTGTTAAAACGTTGCGGGGGTCGATTGACGCGCATCACATTATGACATGGCTTGCGACAAATTGGATATAGTGTCGAGTGCGTCCACGTGTTGCTTTATGCATTTTCGTATCCCGAGAAGTTATAGCTGGCAGTTAGTTATTCAACCCTTTCGAAAGTGGGGAAGACTAATGATAACTGTTGTGTAAAGATTAACCGACCAGAACCACATTACAGCCCACCATGCAGGCAATAAGAGAGTAATGTCTCCTTCATCCATCCATCTTCTCATGAATGTATTTGCATGCATCTTGCAGTTTAGTTGCAAATATAGATCTTATGTTTATGAGGGGAGAAGAATTGCGCCACATAATTGCCATACTAATAATAATAGATTTTAAACGATGTAATTTTTGTCATGCTATCACAGATGCCGAGCCGGAACCCACCCCACCTGTAAGAAATGTCGGGAGAAGGAAATCCGTCTTTGCGGAAGCGTATAATCCCGAAGACGACGCGGACGATCAACCCGCCGTAAGAAAATCCCTAAGATCTTCTTGTCACTAAATCGTGACACATTTCCAATATGCGTTAAATAAATGAAATCTGTCACTCATTCATTGTCGTGTTACAGGTGGTTCATCCAAAATCAGACAGCCAACGTGCTTCTTTGGCCGAAGCGGTGAAACATATCTTACTTTTCCGGTCTCTCGATGGGGTAAGTTATACACACTTCTTTACTTTCACTTATTTTCTTTATACGTCTCAAGTTGCACGAGTATTGAGCACAGAGTGACGACGGACAGACACAAACGGCTTTCGTCATCGCATCTAGTTCTATTATGAAGCATACATATATGGGTATACGTACAGTGCATTTTGTGCACGTCGTCTCCCCAGACGTGATCTGTATTCGTATTCCGTGGAGACATATTTTTCTTTCAAAGTTTAATTAGAATTTTCTTGGCTAGCCTTGAACTCTGGTTTTGTCTGATCTATCAACCACAAAACGAGCAACAGACTTTTTCGTCGTCAGCATATTATCGACATCCATATATTTTTACATTCATCCATACATTCATACATACATTTGATGTATTTTGTGTTGTTCTGGGTTTCATATATGTATGGGAATTTTGATGCATCCATAACTTTGTAATGTGGCCACCAATTACTTTCCTCGTGGCTGGTGGTACTAATAATTTCCGTTATTGCCATAACCCTCAGTAAAAGATGCAGCAAGTGAGCAATTTAAAACTTGAGTAGTCGTAGTTATTGAGGAAACCGAACCAAATCTCCAACAAAGTGGGAATGGGAATGACGATAATTGGAGGTACATGCACGACTACATATGTACATCACTGCAGACGCTTTGGTAAGGTCAAAGCTCAACTCTTTCTGTATGAGAGGACTTAGGAGACTTTTCCTTGCTTGGCTTGTATCTGAAGTGGATATAAATATAAATTGTAATGGGAGAGAGAGACCGAGTGAGTGGTCGTGGGATTATTATACGGGTCCTGTGGATGAAAGGAAGTAGAGTGTAATGGGATATGGTTTCATGGCATATGAGAAAAAAAGATGCTGGCACCACCACTACCACCACTCACGTCCATCGCACCCATGACGGGAGAAAGCAGTCTGATGCGATGTGATGACGGACGGATCCGTGTCTTATGATTTGAGTGAAGCGAGTTCATCACCATCATGATCATGTGCCAGTGGTTAAAGCTGTCTCGCTTCATAGGGGAGGTTTTTTTCATGCCTTATGTAAAGAATGAGATGATGGCATTTTATATGCGAATATATTGACTTGTGTGTCATTCTCGTACAAGCTTAATAACTTGTGTTGCATTTTGTGCTGATGAAATTGGTTTGTGTGTGTGTGACGGGTGGATAAAAGTTTTTTTTACGGGTTTTATAATAAATTCCGTTTCTCTCTAAAGTTTTCAATTTCATTTCGTCTTTCGTGAGCATTTTGGGAGCAGTTAGAAAGGCAGTTTGGCCTTTGCCTAATGGTGAAAGTAGTGGGGTCTTCCTCTACCTTTTCCTTCATTCGGGTGATTAAAGGTCCAACTCTCTCGCTCTAAAGTGGAGTAAAAAAGGATACCTGACTGGAGAGGAAGAAGTAGAAGGGAGAATAGTTCCATAGCCCGTTAGGAAAAAAGGAGATGAGGAAGAAGGGAAAGCAGTGAAAGTAGTAAAGTGGAAGTGGAACCTGATTTTGAGGGATGTCGAAGTTCTCTTCTGACAGTGCCTCTCTCTCCCCGTCATGTCAAGAGTATAAGCTGCTTCTGTTGGATAAAACTGGTGTGTACAAAGTTTGGTGCTGGTTTAGCTTAGCCATGAGCTTAAGAAGGCATTGATGTATCGCATTTATACTCATGCATCATCTCTTCTCGCTGCCATCCATCTCTCACTCACTCACTTTCTATCTTGTTCTTGTTTGTGGAGTTATTGGCAGTGTGAGTAAGTGAGCAGGTGGGTAGGTTAGGTTCATATGATATATTCATACAAAGTTGAGGAAGGGTATTATTTATCCCTTAAATCTACTAACGGCTTTCGACTCGCGAGATGATAGGGACGTACACAGGCGACAGACACCACACGGAGTGAAAGTAAGCAAACTGATGGTGAAGAAGATGCTGATGATGCTGGGGCTGGTTGGTTGGTGGATGTGATTCTGGTCGAGCTGACTTCCTTCTCATTCTACATTATTGATTTTCATCCTTCCTCTCTCGCTCCTTTCTCTCCTTTCCCTTCCGAGGAGGATATAAGGGTGCCAACTCCCATTCTGGCATCATTTGTTGTACATAGGTAGTCGTCCTATCTACTCTTCGCATGTATGTATGTGTGTGTGATAGGAGTGACTGACTTTTCCTTTTGACTGGCTGAAGGAGAGAACTCGCTCTGCAGTGCTCACATATTATTATTATCGTTCCCTGTACGTGAGCTATCTCCTGTCTGTTGCTGCTGCTGGTTCTTCTTCCTTTTATTGCAGACTTTCTCCTGGGCTGGCTTATTTGTAAAATTCAACGCTGCTGCTTAGTCACTAAGCTAAAATTATGGGTGAGAGATGTGGAGCAATAAATTTATGGGGAAATAAAATCCACCAAAGTAAATACCTCTCAAAAAAATGGTGAATTAATGGAGTTGGCAAGGTGTATACGTTTACTCGAGCGGAAAAAAAACACATGCCGGGCGAGGATAGTAAATAGGAGTTGAGGAAACAAAAGAGCGATTTTCTGATCTCAAGTGTAGCATGTACCTTTCTCTTTTCAGAGTATTTTCTTTCTGGCAGAGATTCAGAATTTGGGTACGGCTAATGAAAGAGTACTGCTAACAACGTTACTTTCGCTTTCTCCATGTTAGGAAAGAATAATAATGGGGAAGAAGATTGGCCAGACTTGATCCTCAAAGTGATCTTTTTTTCTACCAGCACTGCCACGCAATGGGAATCACTGATTCCAAGTTATTGTTAGGAAGCTTCACAAAGCAACATGTCCGCGCCCCTCAACGCCACTCACTCACTTACTTACCCACAACTATGAGCACTGCACAAAGGAAGAAAGATCCCAGTGGAGCGATGGTGGTTTGGTTGTACGATGATGATGATGATGATTGTATTATTGAATCGAATAAGATCGAACTTTGTGTAATCGGATTGCTCTGCTTTCACCGTCTACCACCACCACCACCACCCTCTCAATATTGAACTATACACCGACGACTCACCCACCGTATTTATTGAGCAGAAAATGTTCTGCCCCCTCTGACTGACTGCAAATCATCACTTCATTTCATGTTAGGGTGAGAGAAAATGTTCAGAAAATTAGATTTTCCTTCATCTCTGACTTTTGTGATGTGAAAAGGAGGCTAAAGACTACAATGGACTTTTCTTGATGATGAAATTTTTTGCACGATTTTCACCCGACTTTTGTGCATACTCGTGCATGGACGTTATCTCTTCTTTTATGTGCAAGAAGATGGATTTTTTTACCCTCCAGCCGTAACATTTTTTTTTCGTTCTTCGTTTCAGGAACAAATGCAACAAGTTCTTGACGCCATGTTCGAGAGGAGAGTGCAAGCGGGTGACTTTGTTATTAAGCAAGGAGACGACGGAGACAACTTTTACGTTATTGAGTCGTAAGTTGTTTGTTCCAAATATGTTTTTTTTTATTTGTTGGAATGGTAGGAAGGTGACATTCGAAATATTATTGGATTGGTCAGTACTAATGATTATTGTTTTTTTACAGAGGAAAGTACAAGGTATACGTCAAGATGGACGGCGAAGCCGAACCCAAACTAGTGGGTGGATACGACAATGCTGGAAGTTTCGGAGAACTCGCCCTCATGTACAACATGCCCCGGTAAGTAAATACATAATTTGATGAATTAATTAAATTCATAAAATTTATAATTGTTTCTTCATTCAATAATAAAATGTATATTCAATTGCAGAGCTGCAACTGTTCAGGTAATAATATACAGACTTTCACTCTGTTTCCAGTTATTTATGTATTGAAATGAATGCTAATTTTTTCTCATTGTTCATCCATGCAGGCTGAAAATGGTGGCTCCCTTTGGGCCATGGACAGACAAACCTTCCGACGTATACATAATCACACATTTTGGCAACAATTGCCAGATTTTCATTACTGACGCTCTGTTTATTTATTTTTATTGTAGGTATAGTACTCAAGAATGCTTACAAAAAGCGCCAGATGTATGAAAGTCTCTTAAACTCGGTGGTAAGATTTTCTAATACCAATTGCAACTCAACTCTTTTTAATAATATTTATTATTTATATTTATAGCCAATGTTGAAGACGCTTGAGGTATGTGTGTGGTAATATTATTGTTACATAAATGTATAATGTAGCTGATTGGTTGTTTACTTACATCATTTACGTACGTGTCTTTTACTTTGTTCGTCTGACTAAATTCATGTCTTTCTTTCTTTACTATAGAATTACGAACGAATGAATCTAGCAGATGCACTCGTGCCCAGGACGTACACAGATGGTGATACAATAATAAAGCAGGGTGATGCTGCAGATGGTAAATTAATTTTGATTTTTTTTATATATCTTTGTATTTACATATGTTACTCATGAAAGTATATGAGATGAACTTTTTTTCTTTATTGCGAATAGGTATGTACTTTATGGAGGTGAGTAAATCAATTAATTATTCTATTTCATTAACAATGTATAAAACTGAGATCAGTATGATATATAATATATATTTATATGTATGTAGGATGGAGAAGTTCGTGTCGTCAAAATAGACGGAAACGGGGTTGAGAAGGAGGTATAAAAATAATAATACAAGAGATGGTTCTTTTTATTGCCAATAACCATAATCACATAATGACACCACGACCACATTCAGCACATATGTGCTGAATAAGGGACGAGAGAGAGAGAGAACCTTTTAATAATCGTTCTGTCAGATCGACTGCAATATAATTTACGACCTTTTCCACAGATAAATCGAGCCACGAAAGGAGGATACTTTGGAGAGCTGGCACTTCTCACCAAGTAAGTGCGATTGTTAAGATAAAAAATAAGATATAAATCATATTTAATTGCAATTGACGGAATGGCAACAATACGTCCTTTAAAAATCTTATTGGAAAATTTATTTGCGATTTGCAGCAAGCCACGAGCAGCCACAATTTTCGCTGTTGGGACTGTCAAAACTGCATGTAAGTAGTTTTTATCTACATCTTAGGCAGACTCGTAACCACATTAATCGCAATCCCCTCTATTTGTGTCATTTAGTTTTGGATGTCGAAGCGTTCGAACGACTTCTGGGACCTTGCATGGAACTTATGAAACGAAATGCGGAAGATTACGAGCAGCAATTGATTCGCATTTTCGGCTCGAAATCTGCCATAACAGACATTCGATGATAGTTATGAAACATTTCTCAGCAACCACTTCCACCCCGTAACATCAATATATATCTTCTTGTGAAAAATAAATCAATATCCAACTTTTCCAGTCAACATAATAAAACACAATCAGTATGTTATAATAAGGTAAAACAAATATATGATGTCAAGATCTTCGTCGTGAATGTTAAATATGCAATGAGAAATGTATAAAAAAAATTGAAATTTTAAAACAAGTTTTGTAAGCTCAGCTCTAAAAAAAGTCAAAAATATGTTGTGAGTTTTTTTAACAAAAATTATTGTCTAGCATTTCTTTACATTTAATAACTGTATTAGTGACAAAATTCAACTTAGAAACTCGTCTCGTCTGTTAATACTGATATTTAAATTGAACTATTTTATATTATAGCAACGTCTTTCTTGTATGAGTTGAAATGTATTCATGTAGACGATTGAGTTAGAAGTGTAGTTGAGTGTGTCGATTTCATGAATTCTGAATAAGAATATGCAATGAATTTCATGTCATATATAGATGTTCAGAATGAGGAGAGTTGTTGTTAAGCGTCCAAAGAGAAAGTGTGCGAGAGAGAAGGATTGAGTGAGTGAGTGTGCAGTATGTTTATCTAAAATAGCTGTTAGCTGACTACTTTTACATTGCAGAAGATTTCATGATTTTAGTTATATATGAAAGATAGTTCATATTATTTAATTTGACTCTCTCTTACATTGCTGGCTTTAAAATTGTTTAATTAAATTCTATTATTTTAAGGTGGTTCTTTATATTAACCAACCTACCTACAACCTATGATCATATCTCTGTTATTAGCTCATTTGGTAATAGATAATTATTCCACAGTAGTAAAAGAAAAATTAAAGTTTGCTGGTCTAACAAGTTCTACAGGGAGCTGAGGAAAAATAATTTGTAATTGTAGAAGTGTTGATAGATTTTAGTAATCAAATCTGATCTTCTTGTGTCATTTTAATAATAATAATATTATTCTAACGGACTAAGCCCAAGATTTTCAAGCTGGTCTTAAATTTTGGCTTAGATTCCCTATTCATACCTTATTTGTAGCAGTTTTACGAAATGTGTTGACTCATTTAGTAATTAACTCATGATGTACGTAAATATAAATCATTGGTAATATGCTTTGCTCCTTAACTTATTAAATGTCTGCTATTAGTTGTGTATGCAGTGTATAAGCAATACCATTGCGTGTTACTATATTTTACAACAGTTGAGTTTTGTTAGTGCCATTCAAACCTTAAAATGTAATAATTAACCCGATGAAAAATATGAGAATGTTTAATATTTACAAACCTTATTGGACATAAAAAAAATGTATGATGTATTTCTTAACTGACAACTTAACGAACTTATCCCTGATAATCTGAATTCAATTATATAATATAACAACCAAAGACAACGAGACAAGTTCTCAAAGGTTGATATCTAAATAGAGGTATAACGTATGTAAAAGCATGTAATTATTGCAGGGAAAGCTAGTAAATATATAATTTAAAAACGGGAGGAACCTTTGTACGGGGATCAACCACATTTTATTAGGGAAAAAATTCTTTTGACTTAGCTGACCATGAAGCAAGTAGCTTAAAAAATATGGATGATTTGATAACTGAGAGGACTTTTTAGTTAGTGGATATAACCAAATACCTACATACCTGCAACCTGTCTATCTACACATATTCTTAATATGAGCTACATACAATAAAACAGTAAATAAATTAATGAACATGAATGTTACTAAACTTACTTATGATGATGAAGCTACTAACTATCAATATCAGTATATGATTGATGATTGATTCATGTATATGTATGTGTAACTAAAGAAGCAGCATAATCTTCCTCCTCTCCCAATACGCCATACGTCCTATGAAAGAAATGTGCGAGAAACTGATAAATTTTTAGTCTTATAAATTTACTCTAATCTAATTAACTACATGAAATGAATAATAAATGTTTGAATATGTGTGAACGCTGAGAGACAGAAATAAATTAATGTGTAAGTAGACCAAGACATGAAATATGTACTTATAAGAAGTGGAGTTCACATTTATTTCATCATTTATCAAAAACAAGGTCATGAATAGAAGTACGACTAGGTCAAGTGAAGATTAACTTTGGTAGAAAGTTGGGTGAGGACGTGTTGTGAAATCTGAAAGTAAAATTTTACATTGAATTTTACATTTTATGTTGAAAGTGAACCATGTAATTAAATATGATCTGAATTTATACCTGAAACGGTGGCATAATGACATTTCTTAAATTCGTCATCTTCATTAAACAATTTGTCACCGTGAGGTCTGAAATATGGCACGCTTTCTGGCCACTACTGGGCAATTTGTCAGCCTTGAAACGCAGCGTGTGTAGGGCTGAAAATTATGACCAAATTACTACATTCAAATTTTAGTCGATTTAATAAGTTATTACATTTCAAATTGGCCAGTCCCACGTCATCCTCCTCCTCCCCAAGAAATAAGCGGTCCACATTTCCCACCCCTCCCTGAAAATAAACCGTCAACTCCTTCGTCCCCTTAAACGATGAAAACACCACCCTCGCCAACTCCTCATTCCTTGGTGTCAACGAAAAGAAAAGTTTTTCCAAATTTGGAAAAATCACCCCGATTCTACCCACCCAAACTGGATCTACGTAACGGGCCGTTAGTTTCAACCCCTAAAACATTTTTATACGTATAAAAATATATTTCAAAATACAAAATTAAAATTAAATTAAAAATCTGCTTTCACCTTCACCGACGCTACCGTCGTATCCTCAGGAAACAATATCTTCCAACATGTGTTAAACTCTATGCTCCCCCCAAGCACCAAATCCCTTAATGCTGGGAACTGCCTGTTATAATTGAACGGAAGGAAAGTCACTTCTTTTGAGGATAGCTCACTTCGTCCGTCAATCCCCAATTTTACAACTCTCGTCATCTCCTCTGGAAAGGCGACCGTGTAACACGAATTGCCATAAAAATTGTCAAACTTGATATGCTCGAGGGACGCGGACTGTGCAGAAAGAAAAGTTTTAAACGATTCTGGGAGGAAACAGGAACGGTGAAAGTCGCATTTCAGTTTCTTCAAGTGAAATGGAATCCGAGAAAGGGACAGGATTTCTTCATCCCCGACTGGAATGTAGATTTCAAGGGAGCTGACATTCCTCAAAGATGTCGAAGTCATGCAGTTTATTATCTTTTTTACGGTAGATCTGCATCCAGGGTCCATTATGATGGAGAGCGACTCTAATCGGGGGGAGGAGGAGAGCATGGCCTTGAAAATTGAGGGAATTTCGGTCCCATTTTTAGAACAGGGAGCAAGAGTGTCAAGGCCATGTCCCGTTAAAGTAAGTTTGGTCAGCTTGGTGAATTTTAGATGATCAAGCTCGGATTCCGGAAGTGGGTTACTCTCCCTGTCCAACGTAATTGAAAGAGATTGCAACTCTGGGGAGAATGCGGAAAGGAATTCGAACAGGGTTTTTGCACAATTTGGCAGTGAGAAGAAATGGGAGGAGAGGTTGAACTTCGTGAAGGGGACGGAATGGCTGGACGTGGAAAGGGTGGTGACTCCACGGAGGGCTGCCGGAGTTCCGATAGAAATGTTTGAAATGGAATTTCGTAGGATGACCGTGGCCTGAAAATTGGTCCAAATTCGAGTTATAAAAGTGTCGACATTTTATCCACCATTTTTTGTACATCACCTCTTGACACCAGGCTTTGTTCACGGTTCGACAGACTTTTAAATCGTCGACGGACAGGTGAGTGAAAACCTCCTCGAGGACCTACGTACATTAGGACAGAAAGAATTTTTAAGTTAGTGATGTCGGTATTTATTTAGGGCTCGTATTTCATTTAATTACCAGTCTTACTGTTAAGGGGTTCATTGTTGGCCTTGAAAAAATGTCAAAACTCAAGAAGGTGCGTATTTATGTATGCATAAATAGGCAAAGAAAAATACGGTTGTAGTTATGAACTAATGTATGTATGAAGCTGTCTCAATGGTCTCATTGTTTTTCATAATCGCGATGAATCGCACGAGGAATGACATTATGGCAGCGCAGACATAGATAATTATTTACATACACATGTACATGCTTAGATATGGATGGTGACAAAAAAAAAGATTACTAATGCCCATTAGTTGGAGACGTGATTTTGTGACACTATGTATATTCTGTTATCTTTCGACACAAGTTGTAAGTTTGATTATGTATTTCTAAGCAATTATCGTGTCCAATTTCAGGTCAGCTTTAGTACTTGACGCATCAATATTGATGAAATGCAATGTTTCGCAATACGCATCAATAAATAAATACGAACAAGTTAAGAATCAGTTCATGAATTATTTTGATCCTGCAATAGGAAAAGGATATTCGGGATGTTTATCACACCTATGAAAATATGTAATCAAATTATAAATAAGTATATTTAGTACTTGGGGTAATTAGTAATTAAACTGCTCAGAAATATTTGCACTGACCCCGGCATTCCAAAACATGTCCGAGCACTTTCTCCCTGATCTAAACCTCTCAATTTATCCATGTCGTCAGAATCCAGGGTAAAATTCAAGATCTGCATGTCACAAAAACAAAAACTCTTTGATAAAATGTCGTCGTATGCAATTATGTGGTAAGAATTACATTAAAATTCTCCTTGAGCCTGTTGGCATTACTGCTTTTAGGAATTACAGCCACGTTTAGTTGAGTCAAGAATCTGAGCAGTACTTGAGCAGGCGTCTTGTCATGCTTTTTTGAAATGGCTGTCACCACGGGATCATCGAGAAGAGGAGGAACTGGGGGAGCCAATTTTCTGTAACGATTTTTTTCTAAATCTTTATGGTACAAGTAAAGTAAAAATATCTTTTAATTTTTGCATAACACTTACTGCCATTCTTCCGGATATTGCAGCCTATAAAGTCGCAAGTTAATTGACTAAAAAATATTTAAAAAGATATGTAAAAACATAAACTAACCTATTCCGTCCCCCAATTGGGTAATATGCGGTTATGGAAATGTCATACTTTTCACAAAGTTTCCTCAACTTTGGTTGTTGAATATAGGCGTGGAGCTCGATCTATTCAAAATTTGTCATAATTTAAACGGTACATCTTAAACGCAATTGGTCGTTATAATGAAGGTCAAATGTCCTATCTCAGCTATCAAATTCAAATAGATAATTGGCACAATATGTACTTGATTATTAGCTGGGAGAATCTCTGCAATTTTCACAATTCTTTCAATCTGTGTCTCATTAACATTTGAGAGTCCGATCGACTTAACACGACCAGCTTTCACTTGCGCCTCCAATGCTTTCCAGATCCCTTCAGAATGAATAGATAATTTAAGATAGAAAATTAAAGCGAAAATAATTATCTATAATTTTTAGAGAATTTAACACCTTCAAGATCTGTCTTAAAATCATACGCGCATTCTTTCGTGGTCACGTCGAGCATTGGAAATAGGTCATTTTCTCCTCGGAACTCCATCCCAATTGGCCAGTGGATAAGGTAGAGATCGATGTAATCGAGTTGTAAGTCTTTGAGGGATTTGGTCACGAATCGGTCCACCAGGTCTGGGCGCATTCCAATTTGAGGCAGCTATACAAATGTGTGAGATACATAATTAAGGATTTTTAAAATTTCAAAAAAAAAATCAAACTTTTTTAAACCTTTGTAACGATGAACAAATCTTTCCGTTTTATGTTTGGATTTTTTAGCAAGTTTGCCTTCAACGTGACACCTAAATGCTCTTCAGTTTTATAAAGAGACGCAGTGTCAAACATTCTGTAACCAATGGGAAGTGCCAACTCGACTGAGGTCTCCACAGTTTTGGGGTCTTCCTGAAATGTGGTGAAAGTGAAAGTTATCTTTAACAATAGATAGGAAATGGGGAAAAAATGAGTGTCCTATTTTTACCGGAAATACGGACAGGCCCAACCCAACGATGGGCATGTTTGAACCGTTGTTTAACTTGAGAAACTTCATGTTTTTTTTGGAATGATTATATATTTTTCAGTTCCGATTCTGTATTCAGCCCACAAAGCGCGTTTATGAATATGGGCACCAGTTATCTTGCGAGTGCAATAAATAATTAATGTTATCATATTTCGCAGATAAGCCAAGGTTAAATATCGATAATTAATTAAATCAAATCTCTGAAAAATCCCAGGTCCATAAAAACGGGGTTTTCCGGGCACTTAACTATTTATTACTCCATTTGGTTTACATAGCAGGTGTAACAAATAACGGGTCATTCATCATGCTTAATTGATACGTTGCTCTATGACATGTTACTTTAATTGAGCAGCTTTTATTCATAAAACTGATGCATTTGCAGAGGATATGCATAATATGTTATCACATTGCTTGCAAATTATAGTGGATTTATCTCCTCGGTGTGGAAACTTTCTCCATAAACCAAGGACATTCCGGGTGTTCCTTCATACTAGAAAATGTCAAATATTCATTACTTCCTAATACATTTATTATTGCTAGAATCAGTAATAATATTTACTCTGTAAATCCAGGAAATGATCTCCCAGCCTCCCCTTTGTCGAGTCCCTCCAGTCTCCGCATGTCAACTTGTGTTAGCTCAAAGTCGAATATCTAAATAAATATATGTTTAAAATATAATTTTTGGTTAATTAGATTGTTTAAAATTTTGATCAGAATTGACTTAATAGTGTAATCGTTGAAAGCTTGGATCAATCAAGAAGGAAACTAAAATTTGCTTCCAAATATATTTTATCATATTTCACGTAAAATCTCTAATTTCTTATCGTCCTCACGTTAATGTTCATCTTCAGCCTTTCAGGATTTGTGCTTTTAGGAATAACTGCAATGTTTTGTTGCACAAGAAATTTTAGTAGGATTTGTCCTGGCGTCTTGCTATGTTTCTTCGCAATGTCTTTCACCACTGGGTCGTCCATCAGGTCGGGGATGTTAAATTCTCTAAAAAAAATGTAGAATTTAATTTAAGTCGACAATTACTTTCTCCTTAATTTTCACTATTCTAATATTTAAGTTTACATTCCAGTGAAACTATAGGTCTTCCGTCCCGGTGACCCCAATGGTCCGTACGCACACACTGAAATGTTGTATTTTTCACAAACTTGACGTAATGCCTTGTTTTGGAAATAAGTTTGCACTTCGACCTGAATGTTGGGTAAACATGTAAAGACTTGTTTCAAATTTTAAAACAGTGAACGAGTGTATGTATCTACATACTTGTTGATTAGCTGGTGGAATTCTAGCCATTTTCATGATCCTCTCCACCTGTTTGATATTGTAATTTGAAATACCGATCGACTTTGCTAGGCCGGCGTCAACTTGTGCTTCCATCGCCTTCCATACGGCTTCGATATCTGTGGTTTTATCGTACATAATTTTGCCATCCTTCATGGGAATAAGGTCGTCGTCGCTTGTGTAGATGAGACCGATTGGCCAGTGCGTTAAGTATAAATCGACGTACTTTACTTGTAATCGTGCGAGAGAACTTTTCAGAAACTTTTCGACCAGATCAGGGCGCATAGCGTTCCAGGGGAGCTAAATAAAAACCAATAATTTTCTTAAATGGACATAATTAATTTTGTAAAGTTAAGTATTATGACTCCTCTGTTACCTTTGTCACAATGAAAAGCTCTTCGCGTTTAACTTTCCCTTGATCAAGCCATCTCCGGAAAACTTTGCCCAAGCTGTCTTCATTTTTGTATAACGTGGCGGTGTCAAAGTGACGATATCCTGCTTCAAGTGCTTTCTCCAAAGCCAATTCAATCTCTTCGGGATTGTCAGACTAGGAGAAAGTACATTTAAGTGAAATTTCAAAATTTTAAAAGTGTTTTACGATGTGCATATCCATAATTTAAATTATTTAGTATGCATATATTTCTAAATTATGCTGACCTGCCATGATCCCAATCCTACTAATGGCATCTTAAGACCATTGTTCATCGTGATGAACTTAGTCTTGCTTTTTCCTTCTATCACAATATTACTCATTTTTGTAGATTATTGCAAAATACTGCCCCAGTCCGGTATAGAGAAAAGTTGGTTAGAAAATGACCAACAAATATTTGCATAGTGAAGCAAGCAACAGAAATCTCATCGCTTTTTATTTCATCATCGATTGATTGTGATTAGTGCAAAATGCAGAACCACTCGAGACGATAAGCATACATAACCATGTGAAATTGTGACAAAACGTTGTATTTGAATACTTGCTATCACTTTATTGACGTCATAGATTTGATTTGACTATGATTACATAAAAATCAACACGAAAATTCTAGAATGTGAGTGACGAAATTATTGTGACGAAATTGTAGTGACGAAATTATTGTGACGAAATTGTAGTGACGAAATTACCCATTGAACATAAATTCAGATTCATATATGTATTTGCAGACGGACCCATCAAGATGACCCACCTTATTTTTCATAGTTACTCGGAAAAGGTGACATTTTGCATGCTAGATAATTGTAAAATCGATGCAAAAGAATGATATCACGATGTTTCAAATTTTTAAATATTGGTCAGTGTCAATTTGTTTCACTGGTTTTAAAAATTAAATAAGAGACGAAAAAAATGCTGACATGGGTTATATGTATTAAGTCTTTACGTCCTTAGAATACGCATTTCTCACAATTTTGGAACTATTTTCAGACCTCGTTTAAACAGAATGATATGGTTATGATTAGGAATTTCATGCAAATTTTTGCAAATAAACAGAGAAACTTCAGTTGGGGGCAGATTGACACATTTCTCAACTTTCTTTAGTTTACGAGATGCAAAACTCGTCACATTAAATCCACGAGGAATTCTCGTGGCTTTGAATTTACACAATCATACTGATTTTTACTTTTGTAAGTTTTTATAGAAATTATTAAATTAAATTTCGCCAAAATGTCGACATCGATAACTGGGGATGGGAGGGCCGCTATTGAAAAGAAGATACAAACCGTTTCAGGTATTCTTGAAGAAAAGGACGAAATTAGGTGGCAGACAGTTTTTGAGATTGAGAGATGTGTTGAATGGATTCGTGACAATTCGTTTAAAAAGGTAAAACAGGAAATGTTAGTTATATGTTAAAATTATAATTAGTAAATAATTCGTGTGTTCTAGGTATGTCTTCAATTTCCTGACGAGTACTTGTCATTTTCGCCAAGAATTTTAGACCTGCTGGAGAAAGAAACTGAAAGTCGGTGCTATATTTTGGCAGATTCGACTTATGGAAGGTATTAACTGATAACTTACCCTTCGATAAGCCGTGTAATTCTATTAGTGTTTATGTTTAGCTGCTGTGTTGATGAAAAGACTGCCCACCACGTCCCAGACGCTGAAGGCATCATTCATTTTGGTCAATCCTGTCTGACCCCGTGTTCTAATCGATTCAAAGTTTTGTACATTTTCACTAAACCTCACGTCGACTTGGACAAGATGACAAAATTGTTTAGTGAGACGTTCGAGTCGGATAATCAAATTGTGATTGTTTACGACGTTATTTATCAGTGTGTGGCAGGTAGGAATTAATAGTAAAATACTTTCATCAATCGGTTTTCAATTTGTACTGAATTTATATTCATACTTTTAAAGATTTGCTGTATAAATCCCTCCAACCGTCGTTCCCATATTTAAAAATCAGTTGTCTCAGCATTCCTGGGGCCAAGATTTCGGATACGTCCCTCATCGTAAAACATGGACGAGTCTTCCCAATCGACACTCTTCAAGAGATGGACGACACGGTCATCTTTTACATCGGAAGCCGTGCCTTACCAAATCTCCTTCTCGCCCTACCCAATTCAACCTTCAAAGTTTATGACCCTCTCCTCTCATCCGACTCGATATCCACGCAGACTTCTTCAATCAACAAACTCATACGAAAGAGGAACTACTACGTGGAGAAAGTTAAGGATGCCACGTCGGTAGGAATATTAGTGGGGACCTTGGTCGTGCAAAATTACCTGGATGTGATTGAAAGGCTGAAAACAATACTGAGGAAGGTTCACAAAAAGTTTTACGTCGTGTCGATAGGGGAAATAAATCCTTGCAAGCTGGGAAATTTTATGGACATTGACTGCTTCATTTTTGTCGGATGTCCGGAAGTGGTAAACTATTATATTAGTGATGAATCAAAGGGGCAATTTTTTCAACCAATCGTAACCCCATATGATGTCGAGTTAGCATTTTGTGAAGAAAATAGTGCTAGTGATGGTCAGCCATCGACAAGCCATCAGCCAGAGTACATGATTGACTGGGCCTTCCTCATCGAGAAGGGTCTTCCAGTAGTGAAAGATGTGGAGGATGACGTCTCCCTAATCACGGGAGGACTAAGGACAACAATAGTGCAAGATTCGGGGGATAAAACGTCAGCAAATCAAGTCATCAATTGGGTTGGACTTGACGTGAATGAGGAGTCGCCATCAACTGAGTTTGGTCAAATTCATCAAGGAAGAAGTGGAATTGCGTCGTTGTATGCGGACGAGCCGAAAGTTTCATAATATTTTTAGTTTTAGTTAAGTGGTGACAAAGTTATTTCGTATTTTGTTAAGCAAATTTGTTAAAGTACGAATAAATTTTAAACTTTCTTAAATATTAATCAAGATAATCAATTTATTTCTATTTCAAAATGAACGTTACAAAATCTAGAAACGTTTTCGTGCTATCCTAGAAGCGAAACAACCTTTGAATGAGTGGAACCGAATGTCTATTTCTCCCTCTTCCAGCTGTAATTTCAAATTTAAATTGCTAAATTTACCAGAGAAAGTAAATCTATTAAATGAGTTACATTATTTTACCTCATCAAACGCATATATTTCTTGGTAGCAAGACGGACTCATGCCTGAAATATTAATTAGTAAAATAAAAAAGTTATACGCAATCATCATAAATTAAGTTAAGATTTACATTTCCGGACACATCGGACTTTCTCCAAATCTAACAAACCAAGACACACGGGTGTCTGGTCACAAGCTGCTCCCCATTCACGCCACGCTATTTCCTATTGTTGCCAATATTGGAACATTATTCAATAATGACCGGAATATTATAATATTTCTCACGTTTTTAGGAGTTTCGGTGTAATCGTACTCTGGAAATTCGAACACTTTCTCGGGATTTTTATTAGTTTGCACCGCAGCAGCAGCCACGAGCAGAAAGGTAATTGTGGGATGACAAAGTAGAGAAAGTTGAAGGGGCGAAAGTGCCAATAAAACGCTAAGCATTTTAAATAATTACTGTTTGGGCAGAAAGAACTGATTTATTTAATTCAAATCTATCATGAAATGGGCAGATGAAGGATCAAATTTTGAACACTGCTATTCGTAAACTTTCGGGAAAATAAAACCCAGAATCAATAACTCCGAGTTTTCGGACCGGGTATTTGTGCATGCATCTAAAAGTGCATGGTATGTAAGAAATGATGAATGCATGTATTTAGTTCACGTTTAAAGTAACAGCAAGTCTTTGTTGTTTGCAAATACATAATGTGGCTGTAATTCATTCATGTTAATTAGTGCACATGCATACATCACTGTATAAATCTGTTCGGCGATTTAACTATACCAGTTACTAAAGCATACATATGTATTCGTTGTGTTTGGAGGTTAAATTGTGAGAAGATTAACTAAATACACCCTACCTGCTTTACGTGTCTTCCAGTCTATTATTATTTTGCAGTTCTAACCGGATCTTACGCAAAAGTATTTTTCAATATCATTGCTAAAGTTTGTCGTGTTATAGAAATATTACACAAAAAGTGAAAAATAGGTTATTCGAGAGTATAATGGAAAATGACAATAATTGTCCCCGTGCATCTCCAGCCATCAACCCACTCGATATTCACAAGGTAATTGTTCAACAATCAAAATTGAAAATTTTAAGGGTCTAATTTTTTTCAGATATTACAACAAACGCAAACATTTCTGGAACCTTGTCACCTTCGCAAATGCCGACTCGTCAACTCGGCATGGAATCAGGTTGCAATTCCACTCTTGCAGAAGAGCGATTGTCTGTATCTCTACTGTGTCAAAATATTTACAAAATTTAGTTACACTTTCGCAACAACGGACAATCCAGATAATAGGATTCCATACAAATCATGCATTTTTGCCAGCGAGCTGATGGATCCTGACAGCCCCGAGTTTATGGGGTTCAATTCCAACGCTATAACATTTTTTGACCAATTTGGCAAGAATTTTACCCAAGTTCACTTAAGTATTGGGGGTGGGAGTGAAAGTGCAGTGCGGAGCTTATTAGGAAATATTTTATTCAAGTATTTCACTAATTTGGAGACGCTTTCCATCCTGGTGAAAGAAGGTCCCTTCGATTTCTGGACTAATTATGAAGAAAGTTGTCATGAATTGACCAATCTGAAAAGCCTCCACGTGCAATGGACCGGATATAACTCTAGTCAAAGGCACGACATGCAAAACTTTCTCGTTCCATTGCTAGAAAAATGTGTCAATCTTGTCACGCTTTCTTGCAAAATTCCACCATTTATAGAACGTGGTGATCAAAGTGCTGATGTGTATTCAGATTTAAATGAACAATTGCTGCAAAGTATTTTAAAATGTGGGGAAAATATACTTTCCTCTAGACGAGGTCCTTTTGAAGTGCAAGTTTTGTTAAAAGTGAGCAAAATGAAATTGGAGTCTTTGACTCAATGTCTGCCGAAAAATCTAACCCAGGTTTATTTAGAACTTGATGATTCTGTGGGTGAGGATACGTTGCATGGATTTCTTGAGAAATTTACAAATTTAAGTACAATTCATATCGAATTTACAAAAGATTCAAATATTATTATTCCTCCTGCTCGAATCCCAGTTTTGAGACAATTTACAGTATTAAATTACAAAGGCGACTTTCACTTCCTTAATTACCTCCCGACATTAAAAACGCTGACAATTATGGGAGATTTACAGCCCGATTTTAAATCAATATGCAATAATGATAGCTTGACATGTTTAAAAATATCATCGAAAAGTGGACTCACAAAACTTGACCGTTTTGGAGTCGACATTCTGACCTCGTTCCCCAATCTGAGAAACCTTTTGATCCAAAATGTGGACAATGTCACATTACGAGGAATTTATAAAAATTTGAGGGAATTGACAAGTCTTCACGTGATAGGGAAAGAGATTAGTGACGCAGGTATTTGTGGCGAAGAAGACAAAATGCTTCGAGTTCTACTGGAATCTGTAGTGGATGATGGGGTTGACACTGTATGGAATTTTCAGCCACGGTTTCCACATCTGGCGGATCTTAAAAGTCAGTAGTGCTTATCAAAGACGGATAACACTTCTCATTTAATAATTTACATAATTTGACGACTACTTTAGATTTGCAGTCATTTTCTGTTGAAGCCGACCTTATCACAGATGCCTCTTTAATATTTGGGATTTCGAGATGCCAAAAATTAAAACTATTAAAAATCCGGCCAAACCTTGAGGTACAGACGCTATGTGCTATGAATTTCTAATACTTTTACTAACCAGCGATCTAATTTATATGTAATTAACTTACTTCCAAAAATTAGCTCATAACCAAATTTGGAGCTACATCTTTACTACAACTAAATAATTTGGAATTCTTACACGTTCATGTTCGGAACGTTGGGTGGACTTCGTTAAAGCAGTATGTGTAAATCTATCTCTTGCAAAACATAGATTTAATCTTAATATAATCTAATGCGAATCTAACCGAGGCGATGATCTACTCTTTTTAGGTTACGAGACGCAATTAACTGATCAACAACTACTCATTTATTTATTTATACCGATATATGCGACTTAACGATTTATTAATAGTACTTAAATCTCTCCGTACTGATTAAAATATTAAATAAAATCATAAAAAATAATTTGGCAAGTAAAATACTGTCGATTCCAAAATAACTTTGACTTAATTAGTTAATGAGGTAAAACCGATCCATTAAAGGGTTATCTGATCTCCTTCCGCATTAATTTGGACCACATGCAGACGTCTGTTTAACTGGTGGATGCATTCCTTGGAGAGCTGTAGAAACCAATGCAGACGAAATTTATAAATAACAACATGTTACACAACCAAATATGCGTTGTACCACTACGCTTCTTTTTAAAATATGTTGAACACGATAACAACAACAATAACAAAAAAATCGTACATTTCTACCAGTCTGTTTGAATTGCACAGAATGTTTTGAAGTGTGTCCATTAATGCGAAATTATTGTTACATATGCAAATCTAATTGGTCGTACATGTTGTAAACACAATTTTTATTGTTCTCTTTAACTCTTTTTTGTATATCTACATATAAACACTTGCATTACTTAATACAAACAAGGTACAAAATATAGAAAATCTGAAATACATGAGAAGTTCAACTATTCACCATACTTTGCACTTGTTCACAGGGTAAGCAAGCGACGTATTTAGGTGACATGAATCCCCCCAATATCAATTGTCGTCACCCAAGGTATGTTTACTTGGGGGGGGGGGGTTGCCTGGGAGTTTATTTCAAGAGTAAGAACTTACTCTTGAAATAAACTCCCAGGCAACCCCCCAAGTAAACATACCTTGGTCGTCACCCATTCATATCTTCACAAATACATGATCCAAGGTCTCTTTACTTGGGGGATTAATTTGAAGCTAATACTAGTATTAGTAGGATATATATATTAATACTAGTACTAATACAAGTATTACTTCAAATTAATCCCCCAAGCAACCTCCCCAAGTGCAAAGACCTTGTACATGATCACATGAGTGAAACTCACAGTTGTTGTCAGATATATTTTCCCCTTGAGAAAGCTGACCATTCAGCTGCAAATATGCAAATTATGCATTATTGTAAACATAGTTTGCAAAAACTGCCGGCAGAAACTACATGGATATGCATTTACCTTAGTTGTGATATTTGTGACAAGGTCAGTAAAGCTGTACTTGTACGATACGTTCAGTTTTCTCATGGTAACGTTGTTTTGTGGCTGGATGCCATCAGTCAGAATTTTGTGAAGATGCTAATATGGGGCGAAGCTCCACGCCAATTTTTTCTTATTTTAGAATGACTGAAAAAATTGCTCTTGGAAATTGCGTTATTCAAAAGAAAGACATTTTATTAAATACAAATACAAAACAAGAACTATATATAATAACAGGGTATACAGCAATGTAATTGATTATGTTGGGGGATTTCCATCAGCATCAACACGGGGTGGAGGTGGCATCATAAATGTGGGGGTTCAATCCGAAACTTAGGCCACCTGGTAAGTAGAAGAATACGAAGTAGTAGCTGTGGGAGCAGCAGCAGCTTTGGCAGCCGCGACAGCTGTCTCGGCGTGCTTTTCCAGAGCAGCGACTTTTTTCTTTTTGGCGTCTTCTTCAGAGTATGGACAATTCCTGGAAATCGAAGTTTAAAAGTCAACATAAAAGTTAAAAATTTATAAATAATTAGATTACTTGATGATGCATACTTATTTGCTTACTTTGCAAGATGATCAAGCTCTTTGCAAAGGTAACATTTGCGATTGGCTGCAATGAAGTAAAAAAATGAGTTGTAATGAAGTAAAAAAATGAGTTCTAATAAAATACACAATAAATAAATAACAAATCGTTCGTAGTAAAAGAAATTCTACCTTTCTTCTTGCTCACCCCACCGCCACGACTAAATCCACCGCGATTCCCACCAAATCTTCGACCACGATCCCCACCAAATCCCCGACCTTGACCATGATCCCCACCAAATCCCCGACCTCGACCACGATCCCCACCAAATCCCCGACCTTGACCATGATCCCCACCAAATCCCCGACCTCGACCACCAAAACTCACCTCTAAACGATCCTCCTTGCCTACCACCATCGCCAAGGATGGCACGACGAAGGGCACCGGCTTGTCCCTTAAAGTTTAATTCCATATAGTCGTCCATCTGAAATTTGACGAAACAGAGATCAAGTTTAAACGCTTTGCTAACCTATCTTTATTCTATAATTTTAATATGAATAATTAACCCTGATGGAACAATCAAATATGACGACGGCGACCAGGACACCACAAAACACCTAACAATCCGGAGCACGCCGCTCTTGGGAGGAGGTGACTTTTTACTTGCAATTCAAATCAAACACCAGATAAATTACTTTGCCACCCTAGCTTTATTATATAATTTTGATAACAAAAGTCCTTACCTCTGACAGCGGCAGCGGCAGCGCAATAGCTTTAAATTCGATGATTTAGAGAAGTTGATGACGATAACAAGTATTGTGTTGTCGATTTTGTGTATAACTTACACGAATAATAATTATTGGTAAGTATTTACGGTTTAGAATCAAGTTAATTGGTCATTAAATACAAATTACACAAATTTTGGAGAGAGAGAGAGAGAGAGCGACAAAATACAACCATCAATGCACGTGTGTTGAGAAGAAGTGGGTGAGCTAACCAGTGGCTAGTGGAAACGTTTTTCAAACTACATTCCCGGTGCCATCCACTTCTTCTCAACACACGTGCATTGATGGTTGTATTTTGTCGCTCTCTCTCTCTCTCTCTCCAAAATTTGTGTAATTTGTATTTAATGACCAATTAACTTGATTCTAAACCGTAAATACTTACCAATAATTATTATTCGTGTAAGTTATACACAAAATCGACAACACAATACTTGTTATCGTCATCAACTTCTCTAAATCATCGAATTTAAAGCTATTGCGCTGCCGCTGCCGCTGTCAGAGGTAAGGACTTTTGTTATCAAAATTATATAATAAAGCTAGGTTAGCAAAGTAGTAACAGCCAAATTGTTCTTTACGGGATTTTTAGGGACACAGACGGGCAAGTGTCGTCACCAAAAACAAGGACTCCAGCGCCAGTTATATATTTTTTGTTAAGAAGGTTCGAGTATAGCTAAGGTAAGAATTGTCAGTTTATGATCAGCATGTTAATATTTGTATTAATTTAGACATAATTAAAGCTAGGATAGCAAAGTATATTCTAATCATTGTGTTTAATTGCAGTAAGTGAAAAGAATCCGCAACTCCGGATTCTTATGTGTTTTAGCCGTCATGGCCTCCTCCGTTCTTTGTCTTTGTTATAACATTATATTTTTTTAAATTAGTAACACAGATAGTTTAGCCAAGCAATAACTTTTACTTACATATGTTGAATTCCTGTTTTATAGATCATCTGAACCGGAGTAGTACAGAGCGGCGTACTTACGGATTCTTATCTGCTTTGTGTCTGCGTCTCCATCGTCCTTCGCCGACATTGTTGTTTCGTGAAGTATTTAATCATTAAATTATTTTAGATAAAGCTAGGTTAGCAAAGTAATTATGTTAATGATAATCAATCATTGTTTGTGTTTTGTAGGCTCCGGTGATCCTCACTCATCGTCGTTCTTCACCGCCGGATTTTATTTATTTTTGTGTACATTTTTCATTTTAGTTTATACTTTTCAATTCTGAACTGCTTTGTGCGGTTCGAAATAAAAACTGCTTTGTGTGGTTCGAAATACAAAACTGCTTTGTGCGGTTTTAAAACATCAATAATTGCTTTGTGCGATTTATAAAAATGTGAAAATGGCTCAAACTCTTCAATATCATTCTTGGAATGCTGATGGTATCACTGAAGAAAAAATAAAAAAGATGATGCCTCACTGGAACGATAGTGACTTGATTTTTATTCAGGAAAGTCAAATTCAAGCTAGAAACGAGCAGAATATAGCTGATTTTGTAAAACAGCAGTACGGATATGAATCCATTTTTCATTCATCACTTCAATGGAAAACAGACCCGACAAAATCGAGCTATGGTCTTTGTGTGTTTTATAAAGACACTGTCAAAGTCAAACATGTGCCTTTGAGTTCATCAGATCCTAACCTACCATTTAATCATGAACGGATTATGATGGTGAAGGTGGGTTGTGATTTGTTGGATAAAGAGATATTGTTTTTCAATCTCTACTTCCCATCAACCAATAGACTTCCGTGTAGAGCAGATGAACAGCAGAAATGGTTGAAAACAATTAAAGCTCTGTGTAGAAAACATGCAGACGAACATTGCATTTGGGTCGGAGATTTCAATATGCAAAAGTTGAAACCCAATCATAAGCCAGACCAAAGGTCTAGGTTGTTCGACCAACTGCAAAAAATCATAAAGAAATATGGTTTTCGAAATATAGCAGATAAGTTGTGGAAACCAAACGTGTTTACTAGACACGCTCCACACAAGTCTAACCAAATAAACCATATCACTTCCACTTTGGATTACGTGATCACATCCAAATCCATACAAGAGCTGAACCAGACTTGTGTTCCCTTGTATGACATGGATTTGAGTCTTAGTGACCATATAGATATTAAGTGTAGTAATAAAATTGCTACACGTCAAGATCTTGCCATGCCATTTTTAAAGAGGGTCGTCTTATACCCTCCAACTATAGCCAGAAAAGGAGTGAATGAGCTGAAGTGTGACGGTTGTGGATATAAACCGTCTGGACCATCATGGATTGCCAGAGACAGTCTCAAAAAACACGTTCCTAGATGTACTGGTAGTAGAGAAACAGTATGCCATGATTGCAACAAAGACTATGGAAATCGTGGTAATTTCGAACTTCACAGAAAGAGGGGGTGTACAAAGGGGGCACATGGTACAATTTGTTCGGACTGTGGCAACGATTTCAAGACATTTGCAAATCTACAAGTGCATCGAAACCGTAAGTCTAGTTGCAAAGACCGAAATCCTGTGTGCCTGAAATGCAATAAAAATTGTACCACTATGAGTGGTTTGGCCTCTCATCAAAGAGGTGGATGTTAAAGTTATTTGATTAGTCCACTCTCTCATAAATATCTTCTCATGAGGACAAATTACTGACAATAAGATCCTGTCGTCACACTTTTCCATAATTACAGACAATATCTTAGGAACTTTGATGAATTATTTATGCATTCATCAGTATTCAATGATGTAATCGCATATGTATATACAATGTACGCATATTTTTAGCACCATGTAAAGTGACATGAAATAAATGGAACTTAAATATTTGGACGCAAGACAAATATTCGGAGTAACACATTTTTTTATTCGAACACAACATTCTTCACATACAATCCGATGAATAAGACGAGAGATGTTACTTCACAACAAAGTCGACACTCTGAATCAATAACACTGGCAGATGGGTTTTGGAATAGCAGAAGTCCTGAAATTGTGGACATAGCACAGGCTGCATAATTTGGTCCAACTACACTGGTGACGCTTGAGTGGGTTTTTTTTGGCTCGACGACGTGCGACTTATTGGCGCTGCGCTCGAATCAACGGCCCCCACTCCCTGCGGGGAGTGGGGGCATTTTTTTTGGCTCGACGACGTGCGACTTATTGGCGCTGCGCTCGAATTAACGGCCCCCACTCCCTGCGGGGAGTGGGGGCATTTTTTTTGGCTCGACGACGTGCGACTTATTGGCGCTGCGCTCGAATTAACGGCCCCCACTCCCTGCGGGGAGTGGGGGCATTTTTTTTGGCTCGACGAGGTGCGACTTATTGGCGCTGCGCTCGAATTAACGGCCCCCACTCCCTGCGGGGAGTGGGGGCATTTTTTTTGGCTCGACGACGTGCGACTTATTGGCGCTGCGCTCGAATTAACGGCCCCCACTCCCTGCGGGGAGTGGGGGCATTTTTTTTGGCTCGACGAGGTGCGACTTATTGGCGCTGCGCTCGAATTAACGGCCCCCACTCCCTGCGGGGAGTGGGGGCATTTTTTTTGGCTCGACGACGTGCGACTTATTGGCGCTGCGCTCGAATTAACGGCCCCCACTCCCTGCGGGGAGTGGGGGCATTTTTTTTGGCTCGACGACGTGCGACTTATTGGCGCTGCGCTCGAATTAACGGCCCCCACTCCCTGCGGGGAGTGGGGGCATTTTTTTTGGCTCGACGACGTGCGACTTATTGGCGCTGCGCTCGAATTAACGGCCCCCACTCCCTGCGGGGAGTGGGGGCATTTTTTTTGGCTCGACGACGTGCGACTTATTGGCGCTGCGCTCGAATTAACGGCCCCCACTCCCTGCGGGGAGTGGGGGCATTTTTTTTGGCTCGACGAGGTGCGACTTATTGGCGCTGCGCTCGAATTAACGGCCCCCACTCCCTGCGGGGAGTGGGGGCATTTTTTTTGGCTCGACGACGTGCGACTTATTGGCGCTGCGCTCGAATTAACGGCCCCCACTCCCTGCGGGGAGTGGGGGCATTTTTTTTGGCTCGACGAGGTGCGACTTATTGGCGCTGCGCTCGAATTAACGGCCCCCACTCCCTGCGGGGAGTGGGGGCATTTTTTTTGGCTCGACGACGTGCGACTTATTGGCGCTGCGCTCGAATTAACGGCCCCCACTCCCTGCGGGGAGTGGGGGCATTTTTTTTGGCTCGACGACGTGCGACTTATTGGCGCTGCGCTCGAATTAACGGCCCCCACTCCCTGCGGGGAGTGGGGGCATTTTTTTTGGCTCGACGACGTGCGACTTATTGGCGCTGCGCTCGAATTAACGGCCCCCACTCCCTGCGGGGAGTGGGGGCATTTTTTTTGGCTCGACGACGTGCGACTTATTGGCGCTGCGCTCGAATTAACGGCCCCCACTCCCTGCGGGGAGTGGGGGCATTTTTTTTGGCTCGACGAGGTGCGACTTATTGGCGCTGCGCTCGAATTAACGGCCCCCACTCCCTGCGGGGAGTGGGGGCATTTTTTTTGGCTCGACGACGTGCGACTTATTGGCGCTGCGCTCGAATTAACGGCCCCCACTCCCTGCGGGGAGTGGGGGCATTTTTTTTGGCTCGACGACAACAAGATAAAACCAATGCGTAATGAGTATTTATGTAACGAGTTTTATTTAACAGATATATTCAGTTATGTTCGATTTACGTAGTAGAGGACAGGGCTTGTAACGAGAGGGGGCGTAACAAGCAGGATCCCCCCGTCATACACAAAATGACCCAATGCTTTGATTTCGAAGGCATGAACTTCGGAGTTTAATTCTAGAATTGAAATGGAAAGTTAAAGTGCGTCCCACTCTTCCTCACTCTGGTCCACTCATACACGAGGTACAAGTGGATCCAAAATAGGAAACATCCTACTTCCAGTCCCCCACTACTACGAGTATATATACATAATTATCTAAACATACATGCATACAAACATACATACATACATACATACATTTACAAAAACAAGAGCAAAGAGGAAAGTAATCAACAAGGAGTGTAAAATTGTATAAGAAAATTATTAAGACAATGTTAGAGTAAATGTTCTAAGGTAGTGCAATGACGTGCCGTCTCCGGGCTAGAAGCATTCCTAGTTTAGGATGGGTGTTCCTCCAATTCTGAATGTCATTCCCCAGAGTAATTTTGGTTGCGTCGACCGCCGCTGTCAGCAAAATTGCAGCTCTATCTTTGAAGTTGTGGAGAAGCAGAAAGTCGAAATATTGACAGTTGAACGTGATGGATTCAGCAAGGAGAGGGCTGGATGCAATGGCAATTTCGTAGCCTTCTTGGTAATGAACAAGAATATTATCCATGTTGGCATCAGTGATGACTGCATTATGTCGTGGGCCAAACTTCACCAGCATGTCACAAATACTGAAACATGTGGAAAGATAACAGTATAGTATTATATGCATACTACAATTTGAAAAATTAGGAATGTTCAAAATGAAAATGGATACGTACATACCAATACGTATACACATATGTAGTTTGACCATGTATGCGAAACATATAAGCAATTATAACTCACAATTTTGTGGCCCACAGTTTCTGAGAAACATTGGGAATATTGAGTCTGTAACTCTGCAAGAACAGAACTACTTCTTCCAAAGCATCTTCAACATCATGCAGACCCTAGAAATCAACAGGAAATTCACTTGCTATCCTTTTTGGTAATATTTTTGAAGTTCGGAAACATTAAATGCCTACGACATTTCATGAATATCTTTTCTGCACAATTTCAACCGTAATACTTACCTCGTCCCGTTCATCCGGATATTCGTGAGCATGCCAATTCAACTCCCCGATGTATTTTTCGATCTTATCTCGGAACACCGGCAATTCATATTCCTCCAATGGGAATGTGTAATATTCCAAAATAGAGAGGTAGTCCGGAAAATCTATACAGAGAAATATGATTTTGACTTTCCGGGATAAAGTCAAAAAACCACAGTCCGTCTCTCATAAAATTGAGTGTTAATAAAAAGTAATATATCGAACCAAACTGAAATGTTTAAACAACAATTACTCATGTTTGACAACTTTGTAACTCGAATTAATTATTTAGTATTGGCGACAAGGACAGAAATAAAAGTAATTCACCTTTAACCATAATAAATACTATATATGATTCTCGAGATCTATAGCTTAAAAAATCGAATCCTTCGCTTCGGGGGAGAACATTACATGTAAATTTTTCAAATTCGGGAAAATCTTGGGAATTTCTTGAATCACTTTTGAATTCATAAAGTCATGTGCTGCTGTCGCGTGAAATTCTAAAAGTGACCTAGACGCCCCCGTTCCACAAAGTAATGACCCAAGATCTAAATTTCTACTGTGACAATTTCTCAAAATAATCTTCTCTATTTTCGGGATTTTTTCAAAATTAAAGTTCAGCAAGGACAAACGACAATGATCACCGTAAAAAGCTCCCTCGACCTCGAAATGTTTTAGCTTAGGCATTACAGGAAGTTCTAAAAATTTGACTTGGTCACATTGCAAATCCACGAGTTTTAAATTGGTTAAACTGTTTGCCTGCGAGGCTAGAATTTTGTATAAACTTTCCGTATTAAAGGTGGGTTCTCGTATCAAGAATATGAACGAGGTCAACTGAACATTAACCCGACTTAAGTTCACCAATTGATAATTAGTCATTGGGAAGGAAATCTTCAAATTCCTCAACTTTGGTAACTCAGCCAGTCTCAAGACCTCGATAGCTTCTCCTGGCCACGCCACATTTTCCGAGTCGGCCCATAAACTTAGCGTTTCCAAGTTTGGAGCAGCGTGTAAAATAGTTTCCAGCAAGTTGTACCTCGTCGTCAAGAGTTCTGTCGTGAGAGCGGGATGGAGTTCGCCGCAGAGCGAGTTACAAAATTCTAGAGTTTTTAAATTCTCTAAATTTAGGAGAGGAAAGCACCGCTTAGGAAACGTATCTGAACTCTCGTAAGCCAAAGAGATTGACAGTTGGGTGATGACAGGGCCAAAGTTGGTGAAGAATTCGTCCATCAAACTGAGACAGTTGGGGGCAAGGACGTTGGGTCGGAGGTCAAACTTGACGTAGGGGACAATGTATGGGGACGCTTCCATAGTCGACATGAACAACTTTATCGTCTCGAGGTCAGGCTTAAGTCGAATTAAGTTAACTTTGTAGAGGGATCCGAACGTGATGGGTTTTGCTGATTTTTGCAAAGCTTTCGTAGCGGGAAAGTACCACTGCGTGGAGACTAGGCGACAGTTCTTGAGATCTCTTTCGGGGAGGAAATTCATCAGATTTTCGATGATCTGTAATTAAAATTACGAATGCATTCAAAATACATGTTTCTGAAGTAAGAAAATGAACTTACCAAATCCACGCGTAGTGGATTCTCTTCTAAAATCATGTTGAAGTTTTATGTATGCAAAAATACTACTGATTTTTTTTCAGAAGGCCTGAATCGAGCTAATCGAAACTAATACTAAGTTTGTATAAATTTTGTCATCCCGTATTTATTATCTATTCGGTAAGTATGTCCAATTAACTGCTTAAATTTCGCACGTTTACCACTTAACAAACTTGAACTTTTTTATCTACTTGTTTTTTGTTGCAGTTGTGCTATGTATGTCAGCTACGTTACGCTACGCTTGTTAATGTATGCTTATTTGGCCAAGTAATATGCAAACACATGAACGGACAGAGTGAGACTGGACTGGACCAGCTCGTGTATATCTGCAAAAGGAAAATGTGATTCTCGTCGTTCTAAAGACGGAGTTTTGTTGTGTCGAAATCGCAAAAGTCTGTGGTGTAGTAAAACGCTGTCTAAAACGGACAGATTGAACGCACACCGTTGACTACGTCCTATTTCCTCTCGACATAAAAAAATATGTACCTAAGTAAGTAGGTTTCTGTTCCAAAGTTTAATTGAACAGTGAGAGAGAGTCAAGCTGTTTTAAGTGTAAAGAAGGAAAGTAAAAGTCTTGGGTTATTACCCGGGTTTTGTGGTGTTTATTTTAGTATCCGAAACTGCGGAGTTTCTTCGCTCCTATCTAAATGCATACCAACTGCGAATAATACCTGATGTCTTGATAGTAGGTATGAGAAGGGAACAAAATTGCGAACAATTTCATCCTGCGATTTGCCAATGTTAAAGTAATTTTGTCCTTGCATCATCTTGACACAACTTAGGGACATGATGGTACATATGTATTTAGGCAAATTGAACACGAAATAATCAGACTAATATTGCAGGAACGTGTCATCTGTCTCCTTTGCTTTTCTATTAGTTATGCAATCTCATCCAGTAGTAAGACAGCGTAAGTAATTGATTTTGTTAGAGCTGGAGTGTCATTGTAATGTAGAAAGATGAATATGAATTTATTCCGTAGTTATTAACATAAAAATATCAAATATTAAACACGACTTTATGTATACACTTCTGTTAAATATTGCTTATGACTTAAGTATGTATACGCAGACTTAAATTTCAAAATCAATATGCGTCAGTTAAATATAATTATTAGAGAGTTTCATCCTCCTCCGAAATATTGAATTCCAACTGGTCCAAGTCGCAAGAACTATCGGAACTAAAAGTCGCATCGGAACATGAATCTGACGAATCGTAATTTTCGCAGAGATGTACTTTCTCTTTTAAAACTTGGAAAATCTCGGACGAAATGTTAAACCGGCTCATTTCCAAGACTTCGAGACTCGCCAATCGCAAAAGGCCAAAATATGCTGTGAGGTCCGTGAGACGAATTTCGTTCGAATGGTCAAGTATTGTCAGTTTCTTAAGTTCTGTAAAACAAGACAATTAAATCTTGAGTTCAGAAAGTTATGCTTTCCAGTATGTGTAAATCCAACTTGTTGTCATTGAATATGCTTTCTCGCACAATCCGATTCTGCGCATTTTGGACGCAACTCCAATATCTTAGCATTGGAGATGTGTACTCCAAATGCAATGATCAAGTTTTGGATTTGTGTCCGAATGCATATTCAAGGACGAAACATATTACATAAAACTGATGAAATGCAGATGTAAAAATTGCATACTTGACAAATTGGCTATTGATGGGCTTGCTTGGAGGTATGAATAATTCACCGTCTCCAGATTTCCGGGAAATGTACACCGACTCAAAAACTCACAATCGTCTAATGACATTCCAGTAAAGACGGGGTCGACATTCATCTCAACGTCAATAATGAACGGAAATGTAATCTCTAATTCTTCCAGTTGAACCAAATTAGCAAAGACACTCGCCAAAACCCCCATCCCCTCCTGTGTGGGGGTAATCTCCAACTTTTTCAAGTTCGGAAAGCACTTTGTTGCGAGATTTATAATATTCTGGTCATGGATTTTGTAGGGTAACTCCAAACTTGTCAACGTTGTGCAGGGCGTCGTACTCTGTAGCATTAAATTATTCGTTTTCTCGTTCTCCCAGCCAAATAATAATAGTCTCTCCAGGACGGGGAAGTTGTCTTTAAAGGAGAATTTTGAAATTGACCCCCCTTGAATTTCTAACACTGTCAGCTTCTTAAATCGGGGAAATTTTAGCTCATATGCGTACTTAATTTCCGAGTCAAGCAGCCGAATCTCTTGAAGAGAGGATTCCTGCTGCTGAAACAAGTTAAAGAGGACGTTAGAACTCAAAATTGATCCTCTGAAGTCGCAGTGCAAAACGTCCAACGAGAGTCCAATATCCTTTAGCGCGTCGACCTGCGCATCCGTCAACTTCATCTCCAACTTTAAGTTGGTCACTGACTTTGGGCATTTTGAGGACACGAGGTCTCCAAACCGTTTAATCATCCCCTGCTGGGATTTAATATCCTTTGGAGGAAATGAAAAACAAAATTTTTTCAGTCTTGTGGCCGCCACGAGTAAGGCATCCAGAGCGTACGTTAGTTCCATCCGTTCTGCGGAACAGGTTCCTCTATAGTTAACACAGCCGAAAAAGAGATAATTTAAACAGTCCAATTTTAACGAGGCGTAGCACCGTTTCCGAAAGCGGAGGTCACTTTGGTTGTCAAACCACATTTTGAGGGTTACAATCCACTGTGTAGAAGAATATAGAAAGTTTTTGAAGAGGAATTCGTTTCTCTGGGTAAAGAATCCAGGGTCAAAACGGTATGTTTCGATCGGATTGTCAAAACTGTGGTGCATATCTCTGAGGAATTTGCGCATTCTCTTCGAATCGGACCCGTGCTGTTCACCAAAGACAAGATCTTCTGAATTTCTTCGGTAAAGTTTAGTTGCAATAACGTTCCACGTTCGTGACACCAACCGAACAGATCGGACGTCAGGAATGTTGCGATTTATTTGGGGGAGGAACAAGTAATCAAATACGAGTTCGATTATCTATTAATGAACATCATTGAATTAATTTCATTTAACAAAGACTAATGTTCTGTCAACTGTACATATAAATTAATTTTTATACATGAGGAATTAGTAGAGGGTGTGGCCTGGTGGAGAAAAAATCGTCCATATCTCCAACTGACGACGACTGATTATTACCATCGTCCTGTAATTTTATTTCACCAATGATAATTTATAAAAGTATATACGGCCTTAATAAAACACCAAATTGAATTAATTAACTATAAATACCTTAATATTTAATGCTACTAGCTCTTCAGCATTATCACTTTCTCCTCCCACTTTGACAATATTCGTGGTATTATCGACAACATCTTCCCGTCGCCGTTTGTTCTTGTTAGGCATTACATCTGCCGTCTATATCGAAAGATTTGATTTCTTGCTTAAAATTACGTTTAATAATTAATATTATTTCTACGCAGGATTAACTATCAAAACTTTCTCCAAAAACGAAAGACAACATACAAAACAGAGAACTGGCTGCTGATTTTGTGTACATTCATAAGATTGTAAATAAACATTTATTATGTGCTTTTGGGGCATCTCAACTTTCTCAGTCGTTATATTACGAATGTAGCAAATGCTTCGTATATGTAAAATGTCTCACTTTGCATCGTAATAATTTTTACACATATGTATGTAGATTATGTAATTCTTAAATGCAGACATACATTCTGCTACAAAATATTATTTTGGTTTGCTAGTTTCATGGTTAAATTTTATGGTTAAATTCACTTATCCAGTTGGTACTGTCACGGTCGGTCAAATTTCTTTGTTCAAATTACAAATCTTTTACTTATTGCATTCCACACCATGATAACGTGACTTCATGAACGATGTAGTTTTTCTCTATGAAAGAATATTCTCGCACTTCCTTTTCCCAAATAAGCGATTATCATTATCAGTTAAGCGTTATGTGGTTTGATGTGTGTGGACTAACGTGTCATACGCGATGAGTAATTTGAACAACTTAACTACGTTGTGTTCAAGTATGTATCGCGATTGGCTGTTTACATGGGTAACATTTCACCTAAAAATATGCCATTATTATTACACAGTTTAGTTACTGATAATCAATGCCCGGTCCACAACTCTATCTGACTGGATTGAGTCATCTACTTATTTATAGCAAGTTGATTCTCATTCATTCCTCGTCGATTCAATATAGTTTGCATATTGAATATTATTTCAATAATCCATTGTTGTATACAAGTTTGTTATTTTTTTACATTAGGTGTATTGTGAATGCACTTTAGCTGGTATCGGTTTCATAGAATAATATACCAACCGTAACGCAACAAGCCCGGTCCCCTTTATACCAAGAAGGTATAAAGGGGGTAAAAAATTTCTGCATGGTGCATAGCAATTCCACTAAATATTTAGTCTAGTAGGGTTAAAACAAGTCAGCAATCGATCGATGTTCTCAGTGGTTCTGTTATGCTACATATTTTGTGTTCAAATTATTACGCAAATTACGTGATCACGGAGAAGAAGTTAAAATTAGTCTACATTTAATCCCCGTCATGGACAAGAGAGCCCCGTTGAAAGTTGTGGTCGTGGGCGATGGCATGGTTGGGAAATCGTGCATGTGTAAATCTTTTGCTAATAAGGAACCCTATCGAAACAAGGCTTATCAACCGACCATGTACGTATGACAAACGTGGTATTCACTATATATTAGCAATTAATAATAATTAGGTTTTAATTAAATATTACAGAAGTGAGACTCATGTAATATCTGTGATTGTTGAGTGGAAATTGTTCCTAATTATTGTGTGGGATACGGCAGGAATCGAGGAATGGGAAAAGTTGAGAAGCCAAGATTATGAGAATGTAATTAGTTTCTTAATTAATCAGAATTTAAAGTGAAAGTTAATTTAATCTGATTATCCAGACCGACTGTTTCCTGTGCTGTTACTCGATTGAGAATCGAACATCGTTTACAAACGTGGAAAGCAAGTGGATTCCTGAACTGAGACGGTATTGTCCCACTACGCCAGTGATTGTTCTCGGTAACGAAATTTTTCTTTAAAATTTTGAAGAATTTTTTGAAGAATTATAAACACACGTTTTCTCATGTTCTTCTCAATTTAAGGAATGAAAAAGGATCTGCGAAGTCCGAGCAACTCTCTGATCTCGGAGGATGAAGGTAATTTAATTTACTAATTAATTCTGTGCTAAATATTTTTTGCATAACATTTTTGCATAACTTATTGCTTGCACACATTATTTAAGATAATGTTTAAAGGTGTGATATGCATTAATTTATTTGTAATCTAATGAGGAAGGACGTGCTTTGGTCGGAAGGGTGAGGGCGCAGGGCTTCATTGAATGCACGTCACGATCTCTGTCGTCGCTGGAGGCTGTCTTCATCATGACCGTGTCGACCGTGCTGGACATAAAATCTCGCAAGAGCTCTAACCGGAAGAGCTTTTCTTGTAAGATTTTATGATGTCGGCCCTATTTTTATTACAATTATTTTAATAATTATCCTTGTGAAATTGTACAGTTTGTAAAAATAAATGTAGTAAATAATCATCCCTCCCGTGACGCTGGACAATTTTACTTTCCCTTCCGAAAGAACGACCATCACCATTTTGTCGCATTAGTCCAGTTTAGTGTAGATAATCATGCTGTTTAATGTCGCATGGATGTTGCGTGCAAAGGTTTAATAAGGGATGACAGGCATGGAATGGATGGAGTTTTTCACATCAGCGAATAAAAATTTTGTTTTTACTACCCAGGACCGAGAAATTCGGTAATTAGTGGACGTTGTGACATGTGCCATAGTGAATAAATGGATCTGGGATACGGAGAAATTGGAAAAATGAGGCTGTGCAGATATATGTGTGTAATTGACAAGGAAAACATAAGCATGGGATCATGTAGATCAAAATATATAATCTATACTACAGCAGAATTCATATATCTATGTGCTAGCTTACTTTTAGGAGTTCGGTTTTTAATTTGCAAATGGAACTGCAGGCTTGATTACGAGATCTCATATTTACTCTTTTGGTGCTAATCTAGGAACTACTACGAACACGGTATTTACTCTGGGAAATTATTTTTGTTGGTTGATAACGCCATAAGCATTGTTTTTGTATTTTAACCAGACTGTACTGTTTTATCAAAATATTATTCGCCTTATTTCTCAAAAGGACTTAAGGGAGTTACGTAATTTAAAACTGGAAAAGCATTTAACTTTTGCTTCAGTCAGACGAACATGGCTTTCTCACAAGCTACAAAAAATCCTAAGCCAAACCACCATATGAAGTCTTGCAAATGTCAAGACTGCATCATTTCATTGATATCTTTGGTAACTTATACATTTTCATACACAGTTAACCCAAAATCTCATATTTAAGCAAAAACATGAATAATTATTTGAATTAGCTTCTTGGCGTCGCCGTTCTGACCATCTCGATCCTCCTGCTTCTCCAGTCTTTGTGCAAGCACAAGGGAGAAAGTGGACCCTCCTACGCCCCCATTTACGCATTTCCGTTTAAAAAGTCTAATTGGATGAAGTCATCCATCACTGCCATTGTTGTCGCCTCGTTTGGCATAGTTTTGGCAAGTTTGCAAATTTTATCGGCGTCAATTCTTCTCTTTATTACTCGCAAGGTAAATACATGTATATGCAAAATTTATACTAATATTTAGATCAGTTTTTTACAGATGCTAATTTAACTATTCTTTGTTTACAGTATCGAATCGTGGGTCTCGCGATATATCTCGGATGCCACATGGTCATCTTCATCGTCAACATTATCTGTTTTTCGCTAGCCGTTTCGGTGAAGGCACACGAACACAAAGACATTGTTGGTCCCTTGTTCTGGCAGCATTATCAGTTTCGAAGTTATACGATCCATAACATTGAAGGACACCTGTACTGCTCCGTTCTCGCTTTGAATTCAGTTTACATTCTCGTCACCGTCTTTATCACGGCGATAACTTTGAGTCGATTTGCACCTAGACCGATTTATTTGCCGGCAAGTGTTTATTAAGTTTTCAGCATCAGCATACGTAATGTAGCTGATTACATACAAAAAAAGAATAAATTATTAAAAGGGTAGCAGCGTCAGATCCAATTTTCGTCGCAGGTGGTGAATTCCTTGGGATGATATCTGGAAAATATAATATGCGTATACAAATTAGTATATCAAATCTCAATTAAATACCATGTATTAAATTAAGAGTAATTACGTCGGAGGGCCAAGTAGATAGTTTGGATAATCTTGGATGTGTTAGGAATGCATAATGTACTGAAATGTCGGAAATTTGTGGTCGTTTTGTGTTATATCTGGTCATATTTTTTAACTGGAGTCTCTTCAGATCTGAAAATGAATGACATAATTTTTAGGAATTTTATGTACACAAAAATTACATAATAACTTTGAATTACTTTGAAGATCTAAAATCGAGGCAGCGCTTCTCGCCACTTTCAAACCTCTCATATCATTCAGGGAATAAATTTCTTTGCAAATCCATTCCTTAATTCCGGTGATAATGTAATCAATGCATTTATTTTCCTTCCAATTGACAAAAGTGACTGAAAATTCTTCCAAAGTGGACAATTTAGCGAATATCTCAGCCAAACAGGAAACAGATTCGTGTGACAAGAAAATCTCGAGTTTTGCCAGGAGAGGAAATGTTTTAGAGATCCGAGAGACTAGAATCGAGGTATCGGTAAGGTCAATTTGCTTCGGTAACTTTAACTCGCGAACAGACTTTACTCCTTTTCGAGTCGTTGTGAACAACATTAGGAAAGACGCGTTCCAATTGTACGAGGTGAAAATGAGCGTTCTTAACTTTGGGAACGTTTGAGCAAAGTTAAAATCTAAAATTTCCGGTAAACTATGTTGACCCACAACTTGATGAATTCTTCCGCCATCCAACACTTCTAAAATTTGCAGATTTGGCAAGGTAGGAAATTCGTGAAAATTTAGGCAGTCAATTTTTAAATGTCGTAAAGATTGGGTGAGACCCTTGACAAAATCGAGTGCGGTCGTGGCCTCGCAGTCAGAATTTTGCTGCGAAATTCGGACCGATTTTAATTGAAACTTTGCACTTGACAAGATATTAACCCGCTTATCGTTTAGCGTAATGTTTAACACGAGGTCAGCTAATCTTGAATGAATTGTTGAATCACCATCAGAAATAACCTGGAGATAAGGGTCAACATTGATAACTGAACTTTCAGGAATCACGAGTTCCAATCTGACCATATTTCTAGCAGCGGAAAAAATTTTACGAAAGAGATCCACTCCGTTTAACACTGTGCCGTCCGAACGTACAAAAGACTGATCTTGAGGAGGCGAAACTTCAAACCGGAAATGGCGCAAATGTGGAAACCTTAATAATTCTCCCCCGCTATCATCAAGAAATTCAGTTTCTGGAAGAGTAAAGCTGTGCGAATGTTCCTGATAATTTATGAATAATGACTTGAACGAGTTGCCAGTTGCGACAAAAAAGTCTTGAATGTTCTGAGATCGCTGATTCGAGAACACGGAAGGTTGTAACGTGAAATATCTGAAGGGCAGGCTGCCATTGAATTCAGTTTCCTTCTTTACCACGGATGTGAACACTTGTATCTGCTTGTGGCACTCGTTCGAGTCGCCGAAAAGTATGGCGTCTCTGGACTTTGATTTTAAAATTGTGTAACCAATTCGACCCCATTGTTGGCAAACGAAGCGGTGCCGTTTCACTTCTGGGAAGGGAAGAATTTGGAAAACCTTTTCAAGTACCTGAATAATTGAAATTATTTCGCAAATTAATTTGCCATTTTTTTAAGCAGATCTTGATCTGCAATATAAAATATTTAGGCTTACAATGTCTATCAGTAGGGGATTTATGCTTGTCGGATCGTCCATATTATTTAGTAATTAAGCTCAATTTAGGACATATCCCCAGAATTTTTAGTGCTAGATTGTCCAATCTAATAATTTTAGTTCCGTTGTAGCTGAATTCATTAAAACGACTGGTTGGTGGGTGAGAGACCGTGAATATTATTAAGCATGATGTCATAACAAAAATAAGCACAGATGCATTTTGACTGCAACAAGCTAAACATTTGGATTCTCTTATTATTGAGAGTTTTTGTGCGATGACGTAATTTTGGTTGTAATATTTCCTCTTAAGGTGCAGATCACTAGTCTATTATACAATATGAATATGTGTGCGATGTTTTGCAGATGTTTGACTCCGTACCTCCTCTTTCCAGAGGTGTGGCGGGTGTAAATGGGCACTCCCATTTTACCTACACCCATTAAATTCTATGTACAACATACCGAAAGACAGCAAATTCTTGAATTGCAAAGACAACCTACGATACGTTCTCGTCCTTATGTAATAACTAGATTCCTGCCATCAGAATGAATTGAGGAAAAACACCATTCTTGAGAATTGTTTATATAAAATTATGTAAAATGTTGTTGAAGTTGAATTATAAAAATAAGATCAATTCTTATTTGGAAAGCGGATGATATAACAAACAAGATTCCATCCAACGCATGTGTACTGTACGTCTCCCTTTCATGATCTCCTCTTTTATGAAAGGCGTAATGAAAAAGTTGCATCTTTTTTTACAAGTTATCACTCCAAGAGGGCAAAGTACATCATCGATACAGGTATATTGCATTGTAGAATGCTATATGCTGACTTGGTACTGATGCTGCACGTAAAATAAATCATACACGTGTGTACACTTTTTATAAATCATTGGAATAAAAACTCTGATTTTTTTATTAGTTATGTAAGTTGAAAATAATATAAGCACATAATAAAATATGGTTTTCTTACTGATGAGGCAGGTTTTTTTTATTGTACGGCACATATCGAAGTGAAGGCAGAATTTCTGTAATAGCTAGAATCGTATCCGTAGCTGTAGCCTTTCGTCTTCTTGGTCAAATAGTACTTTTCGAATTTTCCGTGGGGAAATCGCACCGCCAAGTCGCGGAGGCAGGCGTCACTTAACTACAAAATAATAAAAATATGTATGTAATTAGTTAATTGACCCATTAACTGAACGCAACGAATGTGCAGTTATGCATTACTTACCTGAGTCCGCCCAATGTCAAGGGTACGAAGGTGAGGCATTTTCAAAAAGAGAAGATATCCACAAACATCTGTCACCGTGTTCCGATGTCGCAGACTCATCATATCGAACTTTTTCAGGTCTACAATTAGTATATAATTAAGAAATTATTTAGTAATCAAGATAATCTCGCCTCCAACTAATTAAACTCACTTTTTAAATCTGACAAATTCGGCTTCTTCCCCATCCCACTTAAATCCCCGACCTTATATGCCTTCTTTTTTAACATCCATTTACACTCCTCAACCTCTAACCCGGTCAAAACATCGTCGATACAATTGGTTGAAATTTCTCCCAAATAACTTTGATGTAACGTAAGTTCCTCCAACTGATTCATATTTTGGAACACGACCTGCAGGGCGGTGACAGCACTTCGCTGTAAAAAAATAAGTGGTAAAAAAACATCACGAAAAATGGCACATGCCAGCAGCAACAATTTTGATTCTTTTCTATACGCATTTCCACACATGCTAATTTGCAGAAAATTATTAATTTTGAATTAATAGAAGCACTAACCGAGAAATGCATCTCCAAAACTTTCACTCGGAGGAACATTGATGTCACTCTTCTCATAATAACGGGACAATCGAAATTCATCGCTAAAGACAACGCGGTCACTCCCTGGACCGAGTTTCGGAGCGGTTCAAGCTCTTCCCTATCCTTCCCAACTTCCGGGACAAACACTTCCCACGCCTTAATCGGTGCCCACGTGTTTAACTTTAATTTCTTTAAATTCGGCATTTTCGCCTCGTACGAAAAATCAGGAAATGTCACGAAATAAGCGGGTAGTTCGAGCCCATGGATTTCAAACTGTTTGAGATTACTGAGTTCGGGTAGGTCCACGACAAGGGAGGCTCTCCTGTAAAGATCAGTCAGTCTGAGATCTTCTAAAGACCCCCGAAGCGAATTCAGCAGCGTTTTCAGCGACTCGGAGGAAAATTGAGACGCACCAAGAGACAAATGTAACGTTTTTAGCCGCAGATTTACCAGGGTTAAACTTTTCAACACTTTGTCCGTAATGTTCATATCCAACTTGAGGACACGGAGGCGACTCATGTGACACTTTTCAAACACTTTGATAATGAGTTCTTCCTTCTCGAAAATTTCGTAGATTGGTTCCCGAGGAAATTTTATGTTCAGGGTGGTAAGAGTGTTTCTCGAGGAGGAGACCAACTGAAAGAGGAAGGACTGGGCGTTGGCGTCTTGAGAGAATCCGGATCGGCGTCTATCTGAGAAGATGAGATGCTTCAACCGAGGAAAAGAAAAGTGTGATAATTCCTCCTCCGTGTATTCAATGTCAGAGTTGATGTCTTTAAATATGACGAGAGATTCCGCGATGGGGCCGAATTTCGAAATGAATTTTAAAACGGTGGATTTATTACATTCTTGGAAAAGGTCGGAAAAGAGGCGAAATCTGAGAATGGGGAATGTGATTTTTGTGTGACTAATTTCACAGATATTTTGATTTTCATCCTTGTTGTTGTCCAACTCAAACTCGTCCAGGAATGATTTCAACCGGCCTATTTTTATTAATGTACGTGTAATTACAATTAATGATCCTGGGATTTAAATGCTTATATAAATATGTTAATAAAAATGCATTTACGGACCCACATTATACTTATGTCCACCAAACGATAAGTAGTACTTATCTTGAAGTAGTTTAGTACAATAAGCATTCCACAGGCTACAAACGGTACGTAAAGATAAAAGTTGGGATAGGTTCGTGGTAGAAACGTAATTTAGAATGGTTTCGACAATCTGAGGGAAAAATTAGTTTAATAATCGTGTCAGAAATTTATAAACAATTGGTTCAATTTCCCATTTTACTGAGCAACTTACATGATCCACTAGCATTGGGTGAGGATGCATCTGAAGCATCGAGATCACATCGGGTTGTGGTGGAGGTGAGGTGAGACTGAGATTTGTGGTACCGACGCTGTTGTTACTACTCCGACGACCCATGATTTTCCCGTGTTCTAAACTTCACTTCACTTCAAAACTAATATTTTCTTAGGAAATTTGCACAACTTTTTCTAGTTCACTCTTAAAGTTAAGCTGCTACATTGAGTATGAATTCTTGCAATAATCTCCTTCTCCTTCCTCTACATTTGTAGGTGTTGTCGCGTAGCTTTCACTTCATAACTCAAAAAATACAACACAACAAAACAACTCTTCCTTCCTTCCTTGACAGCCAAAAATTGTGGTAGTAAAGTAACGAAGAAAAAGTAAACCACGAGAAGATTACTATCTTCAATTATGTATGTACATATATTCAGATATGTGACCAGATAGCTCGACTATGCACAGCAGAATGTGGTACTACGTACATAACGCAGGTCAACCTTTCCCAAGTTCGACCAGTTTGTCAATGAATCCGTCTCACTCTGGTCAACTCTTTATATTATTTATCAACTATTCTTCTTCGACAAGTTCTACATATGTACTTCACTTCGCAGATTTATATAAGTTGTTTAAAATGTATTCTAGAAACTAGATCGGATCGGAAAGTCCTACCCATCAGGATTATAGAGATTTCTGAGAATTTCCGAGAATTTTGGCTAATTTTATTCCCAACTTGTCCCTTCTGAAGTTGAAATGAAATTAGAGGAATGATCAACAATTTTACGAGTGGGTAGCTTTTTTAGTTCAGTGCACCATACGAGCAGCGTTATTGTTTTACGTCTCAGTAAATGTGGCAAATAGTGAATGATATGAGTCATGGGTATGTAGTTTGATAATAAATTGCTGTTCTCGACTTGAACTTAACAATAAAATACTTAAGGATTTCTTGCCATATTGCATGCAGGCACTGTTAATGATACAGTATAGATATGAATGCATGCGAATATTGCTGCAAATTTTGCAAATACTACTAACAAGAACAGGAAATGCGTCCCTACACTGAGTATTTTGCAAAGAAAAATTTCTCTTTGTTTCAAATTCTCTCATTTGTGCGTGCAATGAGCCGTAAACACATACACATAAATGCATACGTCCGTAATAAATTATACTTATTAGCGTTTAAGCAAGGAATGAGCAAACTACTTTCCTAATCACAATATGCTTCCAATTTAAACAGGAAAACAGACCGGTTTTATTGTACATACACATTTGTGAGATGACATCCAAATTTGAGGTTTGAAAAATTGATCTGTTTAGTTCACGACCCTAGAAAAGTAAGTGCGAAATGGTGTAAACCGTAGCATTATCTCAAAATGATGATGACCAGTGATGATGGCGACAAAGAAGACGCTAATATGTCATTGATCCATCAAGAATTGTGTAAGTTGTTATTGTGAGTGATTTTAGATGTTGAATTTTCATTTACAAGGACCGAAGATTTATTTGTAGCGGCTGTTGATTTACTCGTGCATCTTGTATATTCGGATTAATTATTATTATGCATTACATTTTGGAGTACTTTATATTATCAGAATTATTACTTTAATCGTGCCAAGTAAGAGATATGACCGGAGGTGCATTTCTGTTAATTTTTTCCCCCTTTTCAATAAGTAATATATAAAAATATATATCCATCAACCGGGGTCATGCCTGGACTTCACAGAACGCATTAAAACAAAGTTGTTTGATATCATAACGACTTTTTGAAAGGCAGATTATTCTTGAAATCATTTTTTGTAACTGGCCATCCAATAAATGCGTCATAACTCAAAAATCGAACTTGATACACGATAACGCTCTTAAACCCTGGAGTGGTAACTAAATTGGATAATTGTTACGTAAAGAGGTGCACCACCTAAATACACATTCGTATTAGTCACGTTCACAAACCTGATTCTTTCTCAACAGAACGTAGCCCCGTCTCTCTGTTGTTTGTTTTATAAGGAATTTTATGTTCTTGTACAAATAAATTTTACAAATCAGAAATCAAGGTGACTCAGTGACGCTGGAAGGAATTAGATAATATCGTCTGGATGGAATAAAACTGGTCTTGTCGGTACGAGACGGTTACATATTATGTGTTGATAATTAAGCGAGAAAATCTATATAATAAATCGTTTTACGGTAAAAAATCGTGCGTAATCAACTTCTTTATGTACATATATCGAATTATCAACCAGACCCACTTGTAAGGGCATGGTGTTGACAGTTTAGTCGATTTCGATTAGGTAATAAACATGCTTTGACAGGTGTGCAAAATAAATCTGTACGATTTTTCCGGTGACAGATTTATGGCGAAAAATAATGTCTGAGTATTCGCACACCCATATATAGCAAATTCGCATATATAGCAAAGCTTATAGCATTCCGCGAAAATGTAGAGGTAGGTTAGGTAATAAATAAGCGGATTGATCAAAGCCGATGCTGGATGTGAATCAGGTTTTTCGTCAAGGATTTTGGAGAACTTGACGTGATTAAGGTTGCAGTCACATTTATCGGCTGGCCAATTATCGTTAATTTTTTCTAAGAGCTCGACAACTTATTGGTGTACAAATAGAGTACGCCTCAAAGTGGTCACATGTCAGTATAGTGATTCTTTCTAGATGCATATATATTTAGCAATCAAAAATGTTCCTGGCCTGGAATACTTATGCAAATCTAGCGACATTGTGTATTATATCGCGATTATGTAAGACACAAACTGGAGTAATTAAATTGATCGAGCTATTTGCGGAATTTATTACTCGATTTATTGCCTTTCACATTTTTGTAGTCGGATTAAAAAATAAAAGTATGCATGCAGATTGTCATGATACCTGTCGCCTGCTTACTTTTATGCACTTGCCAAGGACTCTTAATACCTAATTTCAAAAGCTATCCTCAAGTCTAAAAATAAACGGGCTCTTAGAACCAAAACTTTCCTTGATTTTCTGATTATCAAATTCTCACGAGTTGTAAAACGCAAAAATTTGAGGTTATAATTTGAAATTATACAAATAAATTTCCTAGTTTTAGATCTATTTATTGCTTTTGGTAAGTGCGTCTTTCATTGCAAAACAGTCTGGACAGTACCTGACAAGAATTTACCTTCCTCTGGCTAAATGAAATCTGCAGTGTTTGGTATTCGTCCTTAATCTAAATTTTAGGTACAGTTAAGTTAGAGGATAAAACTGCCATAATTAAAATGTCGACTAATTATTTACATTTGCACTATTTAATAAATAGCTAAATCGTTAAATTCGAGCATACATGTGTAACTTTAAGTTACACACGTATGGTTTGATAAGAAGGCATTTTATCAGCACGTGGATGTTAGCTTGTTGATGTACAAGTGTTATTTTATGTGAAATATGCAAATTAAGTATGTAGTAACTCGTTGTTCCTGAATTGACGCTGCAGCCGATTTAGTCCAACATTTTCAACAGAGGAATTTCTTCCTGATGAATTTAATGGAATGTGGATCGCAAAATTTAAAAGTCAAAAACATAAAAGCACACTCATTCCTAGTCATGCATTAATGGCCGTATTTCGTGTATAACAAAATAAACAACCTTGAACAATTCCCGATTTATGTGCCAGCCAGCCAACTCTTTTCAGATCTACAGGACGTGGAACCGTTACGGTTTTAATTGCGTTATTCAACATTTTTGGTCACGTCATGTCAATGTCAGGACCACAATCAGAGCACGTTGTAAATAATGAGATGAGTTCCAGAATAATTTCATATTTACCCAGTTTTCACTTGCAAAAAAATTTCTGTAATACGCATAAAAGTCAAAGCAGAACATAACATCATGTCATATTGTTATTCGTACTTATGTCTTTAATACCTACTTTAATTGTATAGTTTACCTCTTGCATTAAATGTTATTACCTAAATACATACAATTTTACAATTAATTTTATAATTACTTCTTCAATTAAGGAAAACCAGCGAGGACGAAGTCGTACATTATAAAATTGCAAATCTTACATATGTACAATCAAATAGCGACAAAGCCGCATCATTTTTATCTTTGTCCATCCAAACCCATTAAAGTTTCCTCTCGCTTCTTCTTCAAGCAATGTCCAGTCTACCATAAAAAAACCTCCAGAATAGATATCGCCATCCTCTCCTGAATGCATCTTGTTAATAAATTTATTTTAACCATGGCTTAAAAGAAGTATATAGATATACATTTATACGATCCAAATTTTGCAGCGTTTGCGAATAAACAATTAAATATATTGTTGTCGACGCGTCTTCTTTCACGTTTCACTGCATACATTTACATACTTCAAGATGGGACACACGATACACAACCAGCCAGCCAGCAGGATGCGAGATCCATTACATAATATTATGTATTTCATTTTATTACACACACCTGAAGAAGCCTGCATTGGATAAAGTAAGGAAAGGTGAGGGAGTGGGTGAGGGGGTCGCCTCCTCATTTCAAAGTGACGCGAGCTTTGTTTGACGCATCGCAACAACTTTAATGCCCTTGCCATAACGAAGATTCGGCCTGGCTCACGTACTTATTGGCTTCTTATTTATTCGCAAAAAATGGCTTGGATTCGAGAGAAACGAGTTTTGTCTGCTTTTGCTTTTGTTGAAAATGCCCAAGGGGATGTGATGGGATGGATGGAAGTGCAAGTTTCCACAGTTTTTGTTGTGTGGCGTCGTCGTACCCACATATTTATTTAGCATGAGGAATCCTTATAGGTAGGTATGTATCGATGTAAGTGGACGTTTAAACTGGCAACTATATAGCCAAACTAAACTACTACACCACTATTTTGCCATGTTTCTAGAATTCATACAACACATTGTTGCGTAATAACGCCACCATCTCAATCACAATAACAACGCGAAGAAAATTATGCCAGTGGGCTTGCAGTCTATTTAAAAGTGGCAAGTTGTGAGTAGTATATATATAACAAGCAAAAAAGGGAAATTGATTACTTGGTGAATATAGTAAAGTAATTTAAATACGGTAAAAATATAACCATAAAAATATTCGCATTGTTCTGCATACTGCATTGGTAAACATAACTGCGTACTTTTTGTGGGGCATAGGTATTTGCGCACACTTCATACATTTCCGTCAAATCCCTCCTCATTACAAAGGAAGGAACACGCTAACGAGGTCTAATCTATTATTAAGCAGTATTGAACTTGGTGTTTGAGAGTCTGTGCGTGACGGAAAAAAATCGTTTTAAGACGTTTGATCAATTCTCGCGAATCATATTTCTGTGCGTCGCAAAAAAAAGAAGGCTCCGTAACATAACAAATACACACGTGGTTTGCAAATTTTAAGTGAAATAAAAAATGAGCTTCCGAGTTGTGGGGCTGGTTTTGGCAGTGAGTGTTTTTAAATAATTTTATCTTAATTAGTTTAGTATTAAAAATTTGTATTATGTCAACAACGTGCGTAGGTCTTCGGATTGGCTGTTGTCATTACATCCTCGCTTGTCTTGTATGATGCTGTCCAGCATATAAATCGGCAACGGGAAATGCAACATGCTCCATATATAAAATATGGGTAAGTTGTTATCAATATGATAATCGCAGATATTTGGAGATATGAATCTGTTCGGAATTCTAAATAGGTATGATGTCTTCTGGGATTCTTTCAAATTCGACACGGTACATGGCAGATACATAACTTCTAATTCCATGCATAATTTCAACACAAGTTAGTACAATCTTTGTCTCTATAGGACATTCTGGCGATTCTGGCGAGCTTGGCAATTCTCGTGGGTATCGTGCAGATGATTATGCCTGCCATATTTTGCTGCAGGACAGACAAGGTATACATACCCAATTTCTAATTCCATGCAAAATTTCTACACAATTTAGCACACTTTTTGTCTCAATAGGACATGCGAAAATCCATCAAGCTCTGGATCGGGACCAATTCCATTCTTATCTTTTTAGCCTTATCATGCTTCGTGTTGGGGATGGTGTACCGCATTGACACCGTGGGCGTGAGGACCACCCATTACAATGGGCGACAAAGCAACACTTACTTATCGTCCTGGTGGCGATATGATAAGGGGCAAGCATACCTTGGCGCGTTGGGGATCGACGTCTTCGTTCTTATCGGGGTCATCGTGTGGATGGTGCGATGGATGCTGAACCCTGCCAATTCCAACAACGCCTACAACTACGAGTATAACAGAGGCACAGCTGTATAAACAATTGTGGGGAAAAGGTACAATCTAAAAATGGTCTCATAATTCCAGATAACGTCGCCTTCTCTGTGTCTGAAAAAATGCATACTAATTCCCAGCCTACTAATAAAACTAATACTAATTCGACAGCTCTCTCAATACACATTCCTCAAGGATGAAATCATGGCAATGGGGAGGGAATACAGTGAACATACAAATTGATATTAGTGATCAAAGCAATAATTATATTTTATGTTTATGTTTTACCAAACTTATTATTACTTATTGTTCTTTCGAGAGGAAAAATGTGGCGGAGGAGAAGAAAGGAAAAAAATATTGGTTTGAGACAATGGTCGAATTATTATTCATATTATCGATAAAACATTATTGATGTGTTATATTTCTGTGGTGTTTGCAAGTAGGTAGTGGATACACATTGAGATATATGTAGTTAGTTAGTTATATGTAAGTAGTAAATACATATATCCCAGGAATAATGGATAAAATATAGTAATTCATCATCATCGTATGTACATAAATGTTATGCTTAATCGGTTCGAAGCTCTCTGAATCTCTATGAAATTGCAATGTCTGTTTAATTGAATCTCTGAAAATAATTTTTAAAAGGAGGACGACTTGTGATATGCTTTAAAACGGCTTATTTTTGTTTGCAATCTAGTTCCATTTTACCATTCATTAGTTTAAAAGTATGTATATGCTTGCATGTCCCACAATTTATGAACTTTGAATGTGAATAAAATATGAAATAAATAAAAGTACGACAAATGCATAAATATTCTTATCTATGATTTACCTTGAATTGGGTTATTCACCCAGACAGAGAATCGGTGTCATCATGACCAGAAATAACACTACCCTCGGTAATATATGCGTATAAAATGACTACGAAATAAAGGTAAACGGTCATTGATTGCATTTTTATTCAAATGCGCTCACCTTTCGAACGCAACATTGTCACCTCAAAGTTTCAGTCTTTCTCAGACATCAGACCGCAACTATCCAAATAAAAAACAAAGCTTCAAAATCTTGGCAAAGATGAACTCAAAATACGTCGCAATCCTGACTTTGGTCATTGCCTGCATTGCTAGCGTAATTACAAAACTGAATATAAATCTCTTTTGAGAGATTTTGAACGGATTGTCTAATAATGCATAACTATCACTCGATTACAGAGTGAAGGCCGTGTCGTTACAGGTCGTCGAATTGGGCGTCAACTCGCCGCCACTCTCGAAGCTCCACTCACCGAAGGCGTTCAAAACAACGTGATTAACACCCTCTCCAGGGTCGCCCAAGCCACGGAAGTCGCCGGAACAAATGTTTCCCGTGCCGCTGCCGTACTTGTGAGAAGCATTGTTCGAGAAGGATTCAACCTCGGTTCGGCAGGTGAGTTTCAAATCTATTTTTACCTGTTATTTCTCTAAAATATAGGTTATCTTCACAGCCACTTATCTGCCTCGTCTCCTCTTCTTGGACGGACCCAATCAGTTCATCGAAACCCTCCGCCTCATCCGATCCAACCGAATCCAAGCCATCCCGAACGACATGAATTCTGCCATTGACAATCTCATCACTTTCACCGGGTCGGTACGAGACTCTGGGATTACCAGCAATTTGGCCCCAATTGTGGAATTTTTCCCCAACATTTTCCGAGGTGTAGAGAAATTTGCGCAGGACGTGTTGTACAACGCTTTCGCCTGGATAGGCCCCCTCCCTCCACCCTCAGCTTTCGACCAGACGATCAACAAGCAGGTTTACAGGGCAGGGTCGACCACCGAGTCGCCAGACACCCCACTTTAATAGTGTGAAAAATAATGAAGAGTAAATTCTAATAATTCTGTTATTAAATTATTTTTATTTAAATCAGGGATTAAATGTAGAAAAATAAATTCCAATTGTTAAATCTACCTCGAAATTATAAATAAATGCACCATAACTATTTCTTACTACATAACGAGACAATTCCCCAGCCCATATTTACCCCCGTTATTATTCTCATTTTCAAGTAGAGGATGTTGGTCCTGTTTGCAGTGTTGATTCGAATTCATTTCTGCGCAAAGGTCCAGAGGAAATTTGTTGTGGAGTTGGTAAAAGCAGTTTTGTCGTATCTGGGGGAAATTATTAATGGGTTAAAAAATTGTTAACTGGTCAATTTAATTGGAAGTACCTTTGATCTCGAAATCCTCAAATGGTCCAAACCACTCATGTGTAGGAGCATATATCCAGTAACATCGGTAATTACGACTTGACGCTTTAGCACGTCGGATAAGTCTAAGCATTTCAGACCTGAAATTAAAAATAACCAAATTATTATTAAACTATCAGAAATTAAAAAATAAAGTTCATTAAAAATTCAACCACTTTTCAAATTAAGCAGGGACGGCCTCCTCGCCACATTGTCCGATTCTATCACACCCGAATAGTTATTGACCCTGAGCATTCTTCCACACTCCTCCACCGATAAGCCCGTCAAGAGTGAGTCGATGCAAGTCAAGGAACCAAATTCACAGAAACTTTCAAGTATAACAAGTTCCTCTAAACTTTCTCCCAAAGTTTCAAACACTTTTTCAAACATGGCTGAACATTCGAAAAGTGAGGATGGCTGAAAGTGTAATGTAAGCACTTTTAAGTTTATAAAACTTGTCGAAATATGGGCGACGAGTTGAGCATCGAATAGTTCTTGGGGTAACTTTATCCTCGTAAGAGTAGAGTTTTTATCATCACTTTGCAAAAACTTACACCAACTTGGGTCTGACGACCACGTGTCTAGTACAAGATCAGTAAGGTTTGGAAAATTGTGTGAAATTGAGAACGGGGAAAATTCCACCTGTGGAATATTGTGACACCATCCATGGATTTCGATAACTCGAAGATTCCTTAATCTTGGAAGATCAATTTGGAACAGGGAATTTTTGCATAGACCAACCAGTCTCAATTTCTCTAAAGTATTTTCCTGCCTTTGTAGCAAATTATGTAGTGAATTTCCCCCAAAGTCGGCCTTCTTCAGACATAGCGACAATTCTCGGAGGGAGTGAAACCTGGAGGTCAGACATGACAAGAAATTTTCGCTCATTACAAGCTCAATCTGCAAGTTTTGTACATTTCTCAGGTTTACTGATTCCAATGCATCACAAATTCTTGCCATCATTTCATCCTCCTCGTCGATATCTCGCCGGTAACCAAGTTCAACTTGCTTCCGGTGAATGGACAGAGACTCCAGACTGTTTCCAGCCGATTTCAATATCACGGGAAAAATCGTATCAAACGCGAATGGAGTAGGTCTTCGGTCGTCAAAGATGAACTTTTTCAGTCTGGGAAGTTGAATATCTGTAAATTCCTGGAGACATAGTGTGCTCCGGGAGTCCAACCGGATCACGAGCGATGTCAGGAATAAACTACAATCTCCGGATAAAAAGGTTTCGATATGCCCTTTATTTTCTGCCTGAAAAACTTCCGGGCAAATTGTAAAGTTTCCGAGGGGAAAGTCTAACTCTGAGTTTTTTATGTGATCAAGGACTCCGTCAGAGTCGGCAATCCTGTGAAAGTTTTTCCCAAATGTGATATGCTTCGTGGCGTGCTTCCTGTAAGAGCGAGATGCCACTTGGTTCCAGACATGGCAAACCTGACGCAGAGAGAGTAGCAAGGAAGGATCTTGTTCAGCGTGGCGTTCCAAAATTCGTTCCACAATCTTAGCCAAAAATTCAATTTTAGAAATTTTAAAATTCAAGCAATACAAAAAAAATAGGTAAAATTTTACTCACGTGGTTCACTAAAAGAGGATGAATTCGCTGCGACATGTCCCAACATGAGGAAATTTCCATGCTTTTCTTTTAAACAAAACAAGCTAAAGTCGCACACTTTTTGTACCGATACAAAATACCAGAAATCACAACTGCATCAACCATAAATGAACGAGGAACTGACACTGACACTCAACTAAAGTTGTGCATTCTCAAGTCCATTTCACAAAAATGTGGTCACGCCAGACTAGACGAATGTAAATAATATAATTTGCAGAAATTCGCATAGTGCACGATATCTTCGACACCTATATTTTGTTGGTCCGGATACTACACATCTTTTAGCATGGAAATGCAAAACGATATAATAATACATAATTTGAGATGCCTGTCTATGGCACCGTGTAGTGCACATTCATTTTTTTAATGTGGGAGACCCTTGGCCCAATTAATCATGGCAAAGTCTAATTCTTCCTCGTCTTCTTTAACGAGATGACGCATAGCATCAGGGTTAATAATATGCAGATTTAGATAAAATAAGCTTAAAATTTGTTAAATGTGCAAAATCCCCCAAAAACCGACTTTCTTTTTAAGTATTATGTAGCCAGTCACATTATAAAACATATAAAGTAACGCCAAAATCGAAATTGCTGTTGCTGTAGTTGACAGTGCACTTACTTAAGCTTAGGCATCATCTCAATCTCATAATTGACTACTTCTCGTAAAAAAGAGAAAGGGATATCCTGAGGTGAAAAATGCATAAGAAAACATGGCACAAAAACAACAAGTTGAACAAAAGGGTCAAGCTTGCATGTAGGTATGCACACGTGATTAAGTATTTGCCGTACCTATGTAGTTACACATTTATGTGTGTATTATAAGGGAATGACAACAATAATGTCCAACCACTCAACCTGAAGGTTGTTCACATGTGAAGATTACAATTCATTAGAGATCATGAAAATAGCTCAAAGAAATGCATGCATGGGTTTGGTTGTAATTGCAGAAAGGGCCGAATTAATAAACATAGCATCACCACCGCCATAAATAACAACAAAAAAATAGATTACGCGGACAAGGATGTAATAAATGAATAATAAACCTAAATAATTCAAATGCTATTTTTGCACAAAGTAGAGCTGATTAGTTCAGTTTTATTATGGGTTCATTTTATGTCACCTTATCTTTTGTGTCTTGATATGTAGATAGTTGGCTCCCATTTCTGCTTAACCTGATTGATTGATGCATAAATTACATTAGTTAACTAGTTTTTTAGAATAATTGTAACACTTTGAAGTTTATTGTGTGTTTTGGTGTTTTTACATATATTTGAGTTCGTTTTAGATTGATTAACATGCTTGACAGAAAGTTTTAGTGAAATATTTTTTAAATAGAAATATATTTTTCAAGTCACAGATTATAAGGTAAGTAATTACGAATGTCAAAGTAATTATTAGTCGTATTTTATTTTGAACTTTATAACACCAAAATATTTTCCACTTGGAGTCAGAACATTTCCACTTCATTTAAGTTAAATAATCCAGTAACAAATTATGTTAAGCTATATTGCACGTTCCAGGGATTGTGTTGACCCAATTGCGGTCCGTGACATCGTCCACGTAATTTTGTCTCTTATTTTTTGTTTTATTGGCAGAGATCCATTTTTTCATCAGCGTCAATTGATGTTCCATATTTGAAGGGTACTTTGTTGCAAGGAGATTAAGGCACGAGAAACTCATCTGTGGTATCGGGTTAAATTGTAATTTTAAACATTTAACAAGTAAATAAATTATCAATTTCATACCATTGACCAATTAACATCCAAGTATTCCAAACTTTGCATCTCCATAAAGGCAAAATATCCAGAAATGTCACTTATTGTCGCAATGTGGGGGAGATCAATCAATTCCAGTCTTCTCAAATCTGCCATCATAAAAAGTTTGAATTTTGTCATCTCTTTCAAAAATCATGATTTTACTCACATTTCAAGTCGGTCAAACCCGATCGACCCTTCGTTTCCTTAATTTTATTCAATTTTTCCTTCAGGCTTGGCAGAATTTGCATTGCTACTTGCATTCCATAGAGGTTGTGATACCTCCCTTGATGAATCGAGTTACAGATTTCGATCGGCAATCCGGTCAGAATATGGTCAATGTTTCCCCCACAGTGGGTCTCCCTCCCCCTGTCCGTAATCTTCCATGACCAGGAATTCTCAACCCTCAAACAAGCCAAGAGTTTCAAACTGTCAAAGATAATCTCTAAAACTCTTGTATGTCTGAGACCAAGTTTAACGTCAAGTTTTGTCAAGTTTGGAAAAGATTTCGAAATCTGAATAAAATTGGAAAATGTCGCGACTTCGTCGGTCAATCTGAGTTCAGTCACGGTCAAGGAAGGCTTATTTGACGTAATCAGTGTCATCCACTCCGACTTTTTCTCGATACACCAGGCGTGAATGATAAGCTTCTGTAATTTGGGCAAGTGCAGAACTGGGTGAAAGGTCACGTTAGGATGGAAGCGGTCAATCCCACTGACCTCCAGTGTTTTCAACTCCTTCATTCTGGGCAGCTGAATGGCAACAGTGCTTTTTTCCGTGAAAGAGAGGAGACTAAGTTCCTCTAATCGGTGTCGAAGGGTGGACATTAGTCTATTAAATGGGCCCGACGTGAAACGCGATCCTTTAATGAAGAGCTGCAACGAGGTCAGTCTTGGAATTCTGTTGGCGTAAAATAAGTCGCCCATGCAGGTGAGGAGGTCATCATTTAAGAAAACGTCCAACTGCAATACTTTTAAGTTTAAGAACATCCTCTTGTTATCCGGGTCACGAAATAGCTTCACTATTTCCGTCTGAATTGGTTCCGCCAGCTCGAAAACGTCATTGTCATCTAACTCACGACAAATCTGGATTACGAGTTGTTCCAGATTTGGGGCTGATTTTATCAGCCATGCGATCAGTTTTATCCCCGTGTCTTCAAACGGACATTTCATCGCCCGTGTGGACCAAAAAATCGACCTCTGATCGTCGACAGTGAGTCTTTTCAACTTGGGGAACTTGAGATTTGCAACGGTTTTATCCGAAATGAAGAAACTGTTCTCATCGCATTTTAGATTAGACTGAACATCCAGCCACATAGCGAAGGATTCCAGCACGGGGGCGAAATTGAGAAAGAGATCCCGCAACATTACAGAATTTGCGTCGGTACAAGCGTCGTGTTTCAGAGTGAAGTTTGCAACGGGGAGGAACTCTGAGGTTTTTGAAAGCTCGAGTAATTGTGCCCATTTGTCGACCTTGGTGGAATACCTGCTGAGTAGAACGCACCGTTTTTTTCGAAGGATTTTAGACGCGGAATCTGCCCACTGTCGACAAACGAGACGCGTTGTTAGCAAATCTAAACCCTTTGTGGGGGGTAAATAGGACAGGATTTTGTCGGCAACCTGCAAATTAAAGGTATTTATGATACAGAAGTAAATATAATTTTAAAATTGTGTGCATATCTACACATACAATTGCACTCTGGATAATTTGCATTTTGAAACCCACAAAACACGCAAATATGGACTTCGACCATGCAAATTAACCAAACCTCTTGGTCTTTTTCCATTATCATTATCTGCACGTGATATTGCAATTTATTTATTCAAAAGAACAAACATTCCCTGCCTTCATGCATATTTAATGATGATTTTCACGGCACACAATAAATAAGTTCAAGATTCAAGATCATTGCTATTTAAATATTGACTCACGTGAGGGATGAGGAATGGATTAATTGGGACCACAGTTTCTCCAGCCATGGCTCCTTCCACCACTTCCGGTCTCATGCTGAGCCGAGTAGGGAATAATTTCTGGACAATTTCTTGAACAACACTAGCTAACTTCACCTGGAATAAGTGAATGTTATTGAAATTAGTCATTTTGCGTTTTTTGAACGTGGTTGTGCATCTTTTCCTGCATTTATGGTGATCATAAATATCTGTATCATGGACTTATTGCACTACTCACCAGCTCATAATTACAAGTAGTACAAGATCAATGCTGGTTGACTAGGTCTAGTTCACTCTATAGGACGTGGATGTATGGTAAATGGGATCAAAGCGAATCTATCGTTTAATTAATTAAAAGTCACTAATTGTTCTGAAGAACGTTGCTATTAACTTACTACTTAAAACATACTTAAAATGGGAATTACTTGAGAAAAAAAATATTGCGTTACCTGAATTTAGCGTCATCTTCCCCAAAGATTTTCCTTTCGCCCAGTAACGACCTGATTACACTGAACAACCGTTTTCATGGAAGAGTGAAATAATAAATTTCCAATATAACTTACCCGTGGAGTGAATGTGGATTAACCAACAACTCTTCGTTCACCCAAGTCTAAAATAAATACCACTCTAACATAGCAATCAAAATTATAAACTCACGAAAACTACTTGCACCATACGAAGAACGACATTTCCTTTATGCACTAACAGAACAAGGTGAACGGCAGAAGGACGGAGGACACAGACTTTAAGTAATTCCTTCAACTATTCCCTATTATTCCTTCTAGACGCTCTTACACTTTATTTTGTGCTACGTGATTACAAACTAATGCCAACTCTGCTATTTATTTTCCTCACTCTATGCTACCGTACACAAAAATATTTGTACATTTGTATGGAGTCTGTGTATCACATAACGTATTATATTTTGTAATCTGAAACTCTTCAAGAAAGAACAATATGGAATGTTACGCCAAGAAATGAATGTATTTCTTCCTGAATAGGTTTCAAGCTTTGTTGCGTAAGTTAGTTTACTAAACAAAAAGTTTAACCTTCCATCCTGAAATGATATGACGACCTATTATATTACCCTCTCCAATTCAATACATTTGCACACGACATGATTATCTAGATGCCACTAATCCTAAGCTATTGAATGGATACGTACACGGGTCGAAATCCTGAACAAAAAAAATAGGCGTTATTCGGTCGGATTGATACGGTCGATATAGATTTATGAATATTATAGATGCCACGATGAACAAAAGTTGGTGTGAATGAATAAATACTTATGTATTTGTATGCTATTTATGGGTTTCTTGTTCATTACATGTAGCTCAAACTTGTTGAGTTCTTATTAGCAAGTTCAGTTATTATTGCCGTTATTAACATGTCTAATTTTAACCCTTTTCTCCTTCTTCTGCTCCTCAACAATTTCTGTCCTCTGTGAACTTGGAATCTTTTGTGTGAGGGAGGATCTAAGTAATTAAAGGATGATAACGAACAAGTAATTTTGGTCCATACGGAAGATTTAACAACATTTATGCAACATAATAATAATAACGAGCAAACTTCTAGTTATTAGGGTTATAAAATTGATAAACCCTTCAAACTTTTATTTTCTTTGCACAACAACAACCACGATTTTTCTATAATAACAAAATTATTTAGCTAGAGGGCAAACATTTGACTTGACGTTCCGTAAAAAAAGTTTTAATATTTCTTACATACATCTTCCACGCATGGAGAATAATGGAGATTCCTACTTTTCGCAATAAGTTTCATCGTCCTATACTTTGTGTATTAAGTAATAGGATTATAAATTCACTGATGCCCACCACGTGCAAAAAACGAGTTGAATTATATAAATTAAATGGCGTGCAATGACGTAGGTTTGTATATCGGTTGTATAAAATCAAGTACCTGTTGCACCTCAAAACTTGCCCAGTTTCCCTCAATTTCGGAAAACGGATGCTAAAGATAAATAAACTACAAATACATGATTATAGTTTCTCACCTTATAAAATACACAATTTTACGTCACTCTATTTATATCATCAAAAAATGATGATGTTACATAACAGGGTTAATTAATGCACTTGTATTTATGTAAATCAGCCTTAAAAGTGCACAGGTTACAACTCTGGGAGTGGGAATCAAGCCAATTAATGAGCTTTTGGACATGTTAATAAAAGATGCGAAATAAAAATTATGAATGAGTTGTTTGTAGCGGACGCATAACATTTTTTATTACCGCGAATTGTTTCGACCCCGTCAAATTCACATGTTTACATAATTATAAATATTTGCTCAAACTTGTAATCTGATATTTCACTTAGGAATCAAAATCCAGTCTTCTTCACTCACGGGATCAACAATATCATTAACTTAATAATAGTCAACAACCAACAATCAGCATGCTATACATTTTTTATACGCTTCTCTAAAGACTAAAATTAGATGGATGAGTAAGAAAGTAGCAGAATTTTAATAAATAATATCAAAAGGGATGTCGTATTGTAATCTAATCTTTGGTCGGTTAACTTAGGTATAAGTTTGGTAATGAATCATTACTAATGATTTAATCAAGGGGCAAATAAAGACAAATTAATTGTAATTACAATTGTCAAGATTTTCTCACGTATAGTTTTCTATTTCGTTGTGACATGTAAATTGTAGATACACTAAAGTTGCGAAAAGTCGAATCGTACTATTATTAGTCGTTGCTGCGCGTATTTAGTAAATTATTAAACATGCATCACATATATGCAGATTTAATTAATCAGGGCTTGAATCGCAAATCAAGCACGTTTTGCTGCTAATTTTTTAATTCTAATTTTTTTAAATCCATTTTTGGGAGGAGCATATACACTGTAAGCGATTAATGTCAACTCGGCTGGTGGTAGTAATTAGCTATCAACAACAAGTCGAACAATTCTCTCAAATGTATACAATGTATGTGTATAGTTTTTCTATATAAAAGATTTTAACAAAAAATTCCAAATATTCACAAGTTCAGATATGATAATATACATACACATGTAATAAATTATGCAGTAACAATTAAGGCTTACCCTCAAGCTCGGAGGAGTGAATCGGGTTTGGAGCAATATCCCAGTTTCAACCTTCTCTCTCGCTTTGCGTAATGCATTGTAGTGCCTATCTCGAAACTTCGCATCGACCTTGTGGGGGGGAGGAGTCGACCTCAGGGGGCATAATAGTGGAATATGTTGCACTCGTCTTTCTGCGTCTGATGGTATTTTTTTCAAATTTTTTGGACTCGCGCGAGGGGCTGCAAATGGTTTACCAGTCTACATAAGGTTACATTACTTGATGGTAAACCATTTGCAGCCCCTCGCGCGAGTCCAAAAAATTTGAAAAAAATACCATCAGACGCAGAAAGACGAGTGCAACATATTCCACTATTATGCCCTCTGAGGTCGACTCCTCCCCCCCACAAGGTCGAAGCGAAGTTTCGAGATAGGCACTACAATGCATTACGCAAAGCGAGAGAGAAGGTTGAAACTGGGATATTGCTCCAAACCCGATTCACTCCTCCGAGCTTGAGGGTAAGCCTTAACTAACGTGATTCATAATGATGATCGTACAATCATAGTTTCTTTTGCTCTTTCATAAATATTATATATATCTATATATACATACTTATCACAGAATTTAACCACCACACTGTCTCTCTGTAAGTAATAACACATCACTACTTTTAAAGGTATAAGCACATAATTAATTAAATATATATATATATATATAAACTTTCTTTGCTTTGCTTTCTCTCCAGTAAAACTATTGTAAAGACAAATTGAATTAATTTAGAATATACTGGATATATAGTTTAAAAAAAACTTCTTCTTAATAGTCTATGTATGCAGATACTTATGTATAACCACGTTTAGTTAAAGTCTTCCAAATTCATGTTCTCAATTTCGAAGAAGTTACGACCATGCGGTGGTATAAATGCGACACGGTACTTTTTCAAAAGAACGTCCACACACTCTTGTGACATCTGAAAGTAATGGAAAAAAAGTGGAATTAATAAACCTGCACCAACGTATTTAGTATGCATGCAATTTTTCTTCGCATTTGCTGAAACTCACGTACCCCGTATCGCGTAAAGCGTAGAATTTTTAATTTGGGCATTTGCATAAAGGCGAGATGACCGGCTACATCTGTGATAAATGGGGCACGGTTGTTGTCGAGAACGATATCCAACCGCTTCAGATCTACGAGAGTAAACAAAGTCATAAAATATAGGTCACCTTTTTCCATATGTACTTTTTTTCGAAATACTATTTATTTAACCACCCACTTTTTAAACTGATTAACGAAGGTCCACGCTCCACTCCGTCTAAACAATCATCGGACAAATACGACTGGTCTTGTCTTAACTGTTTACACACATTTTTCGATATCCCGGTCAGTACATGATCTATATTTTCATTCATCTCATCCATATCGGTCAAAATTGCTAGTTCCTCTAGACTTTCCAAAGTCTCAAAGATGATTCTCATCACTTCTTCATTCTCCGGCCTGAGAGAAAACCCAATCTTCAACCGTTTCAATGCTGGAAACACAACGGCAATGTTCTGAGCAAGGGTCGGATTTCGAAATTGGGTGGGCAACTCCAACTTGGTGATTGTTGGGGATGGGGAGGACGCAAGAAAAAACTGGCACCATCTCTCCTCCTTCCCGAAACAATTCCATAAGATAAGCGACTCAATTTCTGGCAAGTGTTCCTGATACCCGAACGGTGCAAAAGTCACGATACTATTTTCAAACTCACAAATTGAAATTATCGTGATCTTCTTGAGACGATTCATTTGAGGAAACTTGACCAAAAAGTCGGACCCGTGTCTCTCCTCGGTTAGCTTGAGTTCTAACAGGGTGAAAAGAGATCTCTTAACATACCAGAATTTGCGTCGGTACAAGCGTCGTGTTTCAAAGTGAAATTTCAATGGGAAGAAACTCGGAGGTTTTTGTAATTTCGAGTAATTGTGAAACAAGAAACGAAAACGTATGTTCAGTATTTGCACGCAGCAACAAAGCTCATTGCTCTCAGTCTCACTCACTCACTCCGCTGTGAATTAATTCCACTGCCACTCATAAAAGTAAACAAATTTTCTTCTCTCCGCCCACACTCTGAACGTGAATAAATTAGTAAAATTAGTATTACTTAAAAGTTGGACATGGCACCCATTATCAAGAAGCTGCAAAAAAGAGTGAAAGGAGCTGAAGCTTTCGAAGTGGCAAAAATAAAAAATAAGTACGAGTGCGACATGTGCGACGAACGTTTTGTGTCGCCATATCTACTCGAAATTCATCGAAAAAGACACTTGAATAAGAAAGAATTCGTTTGTGACAAATGCAGGAAAACCTTTGTCACAGAGTGTAATCTGAAAAGTCACCAGTTGACCCACTCCGATGAGAGAAAGTTTGCGTGTGTAGTTTGTGGGGTAAAGTTTAAAAGGTTTGTCTCTCATTATTCATGTAATTTCGTATTATTGACTGTTTGATTAACATAACCATTCTTTGAATAACTTTAGAAATAGTGATCTCCTTCGGCACATGAGGCTACAACATCCCGGATCCAGCCTGATTGAAAGTAATGATTAGCTGATGTTTATCTAATTTATAAATTACTACAATAATCGTTATCTATATTTTTGTGTTATGTAGACTCAACGATTAGGCCGAAAAACTCGTACGAAAATTTCGAAGTAGGGACTACTGGTGGTGAATTGGTTGCGACGTGCATAACTTGCAAGTTCTTGGCGAGTAATCAGGTGTCGATGCTAAATCATACAAGGAGAGGACACGTCGCCATTCCCACACACGTTTACGCAGAAGGTGATGGTTGCAAAATTGTTCCGAGAGCATTTAAACCTGAAGATTATTATGGTACACAAACTTTATAAAATATATACGGTTCCATATATATTTAACTCGTTTTTATTGGTGTTTGCAGAGAGTAATGGCGGATTACACAATATAATACTCAAAGTTTGGATGAAGGACAACACGATCGGTCTGAGTATAAGTAAAACTACTTATGGAAACGGGGTTCTTGCCGCCCAGAAAAACAAGACTGACATGAAGAGTGCCGGGCGTCACAACACCACCATGCTGAAGAAGTCTTGCTCGTCGAGGGTCCTCCTCCCAGAAGGATATGAGGTTATTTGTGAGGAAACAAGAGTCGTCCCCATCCACCCTTTTCAAGGAACTTTGTGCAGTTCGAACGGGAAGTGGTTAGTTCGCAACATTCTTCAAAAAGTGTGCGTGGACACGTTTATGCCCCCAGAAGCTCTCACGTATTTTGAAGAAGATGAACTCGCCATCATCATCAAAGCAGTGGAAGAGTTGAAGAACTCGTTGGTTATTGGGGACCGTGAACTAGTCTTTATAGACGAAGCAGAAGAAGGCGACCGACCACTGGGCGACCCGATTCTCAGGGCAAAGATTGAAGAAGGGACTTCCAAAATTTGCAAATTGGAGGAAGACCTGCATCAGGCCTCGCTTCGTGAAGAAAAGTTGCTCAAGGAGAACGACAAATTGAGGTCTCAGTTTGAGGATGAGAAACAAGCTCACAATGAGACAAAAAAAATGGTAAGTCAACTCTCCTTCTTTTCAACTCTAAAATAAGTAATTTATATTGGATTCGTTGTAATCGTTGAACTGTATTTGAATAATTAGTTGGTGGCGATGAAGCGAGAACGAGCTTTGTTGCTGCGTGCAAATTCTGAAAAGAGGAATGAGAACCGTGTTCCCCTCTCAAACGCCACCAACTCACCGGTGAAGAGGAAGAAATGACATAATCTTTCTTGAACTTATCATTTTTTTGTGATCAATCATTAGACATAAATAACCTTGTTATAAATAAACTATGGTAAATAATAATAACCTGTCAGGGTGTCACTTTGACTCTCGAGCAGTGCAGTAAAAGAGGACTCAAGTAACGAGGCATTTTTCACTTTGAAATGTAAAGTTCTCAATTTCAATCCAGACTTGGATAAACAGAGGAGTTGAACATCATTAATTTTTGCACTAATTTCTAAATGTTTTAAATTTTGTGAAGATCTTGAGCAAATTATGCCATCCGGCATCTGATGCAGTTGAGCCATTGCGGTCTGCTCTTCGTCCTCTGCTTCAAAGAAACGTTTTGGAAATGACAAATCTAATCTTTCAAGATTCGTCGCAGAGTTGATTAATGATTTGAAAAAGATGGAAAAGTCGTGATTAAACTGCGCCACGACCCCGTTGGGGGTGTGATCCTCGAAAATGAGGGATTTTAACCTCGGCAGACTGACCGTTGTGAGGAGAACTTCGGCAAACTTAAATTTACTGTCGTGATTCTTGTCGGTAGAAATTTTCAAATATTCCATAAAGGAGCCGCAGACGCGGAAAAAGTCTGTGATGAGATCCTCATTTTCTACAGTGAAGAATTTCGAGGCGATCTCAAACTTTACGTAAGGAGGGTCCTTGCTATGACGAAAAGTTTGGACGATTTTTAGCATTTTCTCCGCATCGTAAAACTCATCCGTAAAGGTAATTAGTTCGAGTTTTTCTTGCAGAATGCGCGTCGCCACGCCTAACCATTGTTTATTCACGAGGCGGAGGATCTTTAACTGGTCGAGAGTCATGTGACGGAAGGCAGTCTCAAGAACCTAGAAGATATAATTAATACGAAATTCTTATTAAGAATCTTCATCTACCTAAATTAATTCCTTATCCGACAACACACCAGACTGAATAACAGCTTACATTTGGTATCAAGAGGGGATCATGGTCATCATTACTAGTCCCGTTCGTCTTAGGACTTTGACTCATGTCTTCTACTGGCAGCAAATTTGGATCAATTTGTGGATCATGGGATGTGGAGGCTACTGCGGCATCAGTAGCAACAGGAGAATCAGAAATCATTACGGCGTCGTTGTTGTTATTATTTTCAATCGGATCTGAAAGGATTACATTAAGGATTATTATTACATTGGCGGATTAGCTATTAAGTTTCATTATAGAACATCAACCTCCACATCACATTGCATTCACATCAACATTAATTAGCACACACAATGTTTGCAAAGGTGCGTCATGATGAAAAAAGATCCCCCACTCACTAATTAGTTCAGATTCCTCTGACTTCTTGAATCGCTTTGCCTGTCCTTCCATTTGACTAATTGTTGACGTTCTCCGTAATTAAATTAGGGACCGGATGATGCTGTCAAGTAGTTGGAGCGGAAAAGGGTTGAGAGAAAGTAAATCTCCTACTCTCTCGCAAGAAAAAGTCGGCAAACACAAACGTTTTAATTTCTGCTCCCGGAATGACTTTCACTTCACCTTTGCACGTGTTATTAAATTTAGAGAATAAAACAAGATCCGTCGTCTCCACGAGTAAATTACGACTTTGATGTCTTGCTGATGATTAGGTTTTGTCCGTATATTAATTCAGATATAGTCGTCCTGGTCGTTATACTCATCATCACTATATTATCACTATAACTGCGGCGGAACCACCCTTCTTGATTATACACATACGGCTTGATAATAATTATTGCGGTTACTCAAACGACGACGACGAAAGCACTGGTTTCACATGTATTTACCGAGAGAGAGATAGCACAGATTAAAGATATCTGAAATAATTTGAGGGCACCCAGCAGATTACAGTTCGCTCCTAATGAATGATGCTTCGATTGATGCTTTGAACAATAGGCCACTTGATTTGTTGACATCGGAAAAGTTTGTACCGTTTAGCGATTACAGGTTAATCACGCGTTGCAAATAACCTCTCAGATGGTGATAGTTCAAGAGTTTATCTCGTGTTATCCACGTCCTTCCCGTGCTGGTGGATTAGGATGTCAAATGCCTGCAAAATTAATAAGTCCGTATTTTTAGAGAAAGTTATATAAGTAAAACTAAATAAATAAATAAATCTATAACAAAATAGAGTTGTTCTACTAATCATACTTCGCGTCGGGTTAACTTTATATTTATTTTGGCACACAAAAACAACATGTGCTTTCACCATAATACATTAAGTATTCCTCGGTTTGTCGACGTGGTTTGACAAAATATATGTACGAAATTGAGTGATCGAATCGCTTATGTATACAGAACCTATGAGAACGAGAGGGAGGGCAGGAAACTGTTTATGTAAATGGAGAAAGGTCGATAAATTCTTAATAAGTTAAACAGCAAACAGATACATGGACTTGAGCATACCACCGATAAACTAGATACAAACGTACCGTCCATAGTGACAGATTCGAACCTTCAATTATTAGCATGACAGTGAAATCAGTCCTCGAGGGAAAAAAAGTCAGAGTTGAATTGGTACGAATGAGTACGTACTACGTGCATTCATATGTACGCAAAAAATCGGTGAGAATAAAGGAACAAAGTTGTGTACAAATTTCCCAAAGTGATATTCTCCTGGAGATTGATCTAATTTAGGGTAATATTACATTTTGTGAAAAAAAGTTAGGTAGTTGCTCGTGGCGTTTTGGGAGTAGAACTCGCAAGAAAGAAGGTACATAAAAGAGTGAAAGTAGCAGCACAACTACACCTTCCTTCACCACTGGTGAAAGGGGTGTGCGGATCTTTGCCCCCCATTATAAGCTACCCATGAAATGCTACCCATTATATGCTACCCATGAAATGCTACCCATTATATGCTACCCGAGATGATCTGCCCCCCATTATATCCTACCCGACCCGTTTTCACTTTCTTCCTGCAAATTAAACCAAAATGGATACCCCGTTTTGCGTCGTAGTGCAACATAACAGTTACTGTTTATTAACGCAAAATTAGTCAAATAATAAATTCTCAAAAAACGAATCAATACATAAAATCTCGTAAAATTAGCCGAACAATAAATTCTCAAAAAACGAATCAATACATAAAATCTCGTAAAATTAGCCGAACAATAAATTCTCAAAAAACTAATCAACACATAAAATCTCGGAAAATCAGTCAAATAATAAATTCTTAAAAAATGAATCAAAACATAAAATCTCGGAAAATCAGTCAAATAATAAATTCTTAAAAAATGAATCAAAACATAAAATATCGTAAAATCAGTCAATTAATAAATTCTCAAAAAACGAATCAAAACAAAATCTCCTTGTCATTTAATATTTTAATTTAATAGATTTGTATCCCTTTCCAATAAAGATATAAAAAAGGTCCAGGTTTATTGTTGATATTGGTCTATTGATTCTATTTGATTTTATTGAATTAGGAACCCACAATTACCCTACAAGTTCCGTCAATGTCAATGTTTTGATTCATTTTTTGAGAATCTGTTGTTCGACTGATTTTCCGAGATTTTATGTGTTGATTAGTTTTTTGAGAATTTATTGTTCGGCTAATTTTACGAGATTGTATGTATTGATTCGTTTTTTGAGAATTTATTATTTGACTAATTTTGCGTTAAAAAACAGTAACTGTTATGTTGCACTACGACGCAAAACAGGGTATCCATGTTGTTGGAATAATAATAATGTTGGAGTAATTTGCAGGAAGAAAGTGAAAACGGGTGGGGTAGGATATAATGGGGGGCAGATCATCTCGGGTAGCATTTCATGGGTAGCAGATCATCACGGGTAGCATATAATGGGTAGCATTTCATGGGTAGCTTATAATGGGGGGCAAAGATCCGCAAATCGGTAAAAGGTATATATGTGCACACGTCCTAACTGCATACAGTAGTTGTCATTGTCACCTTTTCACTTATTTGAGCCAAACATTTTTTTTGCAAATAAGCTCACCATTTTTTCCCTACACGATGCGATCTAAGAAACCGTATCGATCAATGACAATTCAGAATCAAAAAGGTTTTTAACTGCGTATATTTGACTGCAAAGTAAGTGGTATGAAATTGTTCTTTTGAATGTTCTCTCACTTATTGTAAGGCAAAGTGTGCGTCCTTGTTTGTCAGCATGGTGTGAATAAATATTGATGACGATAACCTCTTCAACTTTTATGCTGCGGTATTTAATGGAGTCTATGTAATGCAAGTGTACGTAAGTACGGGCTAAAAACTGTAGCCATCATCAGCTAGCACTTCTCGTACAGTTTGTCACTTCGTGCTCATCAAAATGCTCGTTCAAGTAGCAGAAAACTGTAACGTATGTACCAGTCAGTATCAATTAATTATGATCTAGTGAACTCACTCAATCCATAATGGAGAGTGGAGAGCATTAGCTACATAAATTCTCAGAATCTGGAGGACATGTCACCTAAAATTACATGATATGCAGAGAATACTTTTAGTCCAAACTTTTCCACCACCACATTGTTTCAAATGCCTACAAAATTCCACGCCTTGTCACAAAAACGATAAAGAATTGTAATTAGAAAGAAGTAATAACGTCGCAAATTCGCTAGCAGAAATAAGGCTGCAAATTTTCAAACCAAATGTAAGCACAGTTTCATTACTACATAAAACTCGTTCTCACAGGATTAGTAAATTTGCAAATATATTGCAGTCCAGTGAACTATATAATTATTAATCCAGAGGAGGAGGCAACAGCACGCAAGTCCCAAACCAATTCGACGATATCTGTACCAAAAAGACAATTCAGGCCGACTAGGACTAATAGATTCATCCATAACTGTGTGCCTACTTGCATACAGGTAACCTGCCTGTTATTTGCTCACTTTGTCAAATGAATCGTTTTTCTAGTGAGTGATTGATTTAAATGGATTGAATTTTGGCAATGCACAACCGACTTTTCGGCACAAATAAATTATGCGAGACACGAACACACCGAGGGAGAAATTGAGTTTCGTTCATATAAGCGAATAAAAAATTGGACTGTTTAAAAGAAACTCAATGTGATGCCACCAACAATCTCGTCTCGGTCGGTCTCGTCGTCATAAGAAAATGTTGACAATCTACCTAAAAATCCAACCCAGCCGGCCCATCAGATAATAATTACCTGTATTTTTTGCATTCTTTAATGCTCGTTACTTAACTTGTTACTTGTATGAAACAACAAACACTTATTTGGGCGAGGAGACAAACAATTCACCGGAGAAAACCGGTTGTCTGCTGTCTTAGACAAAGTCAGAAATATATTATCTGTTCAGCTTGGACTTCTAAATTCTAAAAATTTTCCACGACCTATCCAGGAGGTACCTGATTCGAATGACGTGCGCACGCTATTTTGAGTGGTTTTCTAGGGTGATAAAAATGTAAAAATCAACAAGAACAACAAATCTCAATCAATCGCCCATTATGCATGCATTTATATTCCAACACTACCACTTAATTGGGGGTTTGTGGAACATTTTATATTTTCTTAACGACCCTCGGCCCAACTTTTAGAATGAGAATTAGGCATTTTCATAACAAAAAAGTGTTTACCTACCACATACGAAAACTACCACCGTCACTGCTACCATGCTCTACGACAAGAGTAATAAGTAATTCCCGCAGCGCCAGAGTAATTATTTGTCCTTGACAATGGGCAGGTTACTCATACATACATACATACATATTTATTATATTATTACTAAATATGACACCTTATTAGAGAAAGATAGACCATATTTTACGCCTTTATTTGGCATGCATATATCGTCTCCAAAAAAAATTATTCCGAAATTCCGAACCCATTAATTATTCTTTAAATGCTTATTCCATAACTGTTAACATAACCAATTATTATTACCACTAAAAATAAAACCTCGCGTTAAAACTTCTTCACACATAACAGCTCCATGCTGCACCGTCGTGTCACACTTTATAAATTATTTTTAAACGCGGCTGCTTCTGCTGTTACATTTATGACCATGGTGGTCCCATTTCAATTTAAAACCGATAACAAGTTACAACTCTCTTCGGTATTGTTGGGGAGAATTTTACGGCTTTTTTGACCTTGCAGCAGCAAGCACCACCTTAAGCCAACACATTCAGAATGGAATAATAAAAATGTAAAATAAACAATTTTCACACACCTGACATGACACCATGCACTTTCCAAGTCGAATTAGGAATATGAATGAATGAACGATGAATTAATATCAGTTATTCCACTGCACTATGTGCGTTCTTAACTGGTCCAATACTGCTTTTAAATTTCTGAACGAAATCATAATTCCGTCTGGGAAAGAAGAAAATCGCGTCCTTGAACTCGAAAAAAGTTCATTTTTTTAAACCGTAAAATAAGAAACTTATAAAAGAAACAAAATATATGTAATGTTCACGATTTTAACTCGTGCACTCCACGTAACGTAACGTAATGCAATTCAACTTTAAGACTTGAATCTGACCGAGCAGTTACCATACCAGAGTCAGAATCGCACTGAATTTCAGTCCATTTCAACAACCTGCTGCTGCCTACAGAAGTAGAGAGATCTGTACTCTGACAACTTTTTTAACTGGATTGAACGACATTGCTTATAAAAATTTTTTTCCGCTGGCTTAAACATACTGCATAATAATACTTGTTGTATTACTTGACTGCTATACCTACCTCATCCCCACTCTACTTTTCCTGCATTTTTACACCGCACTTCCAGACGTATATAGTATGTAATATGCTTACTTACTTTGTGTTTGTGTGTAATGTAATGCTTAACGAAGACGATTTATTTATTTACGTGCAAAAAATAGCATTCATCATCAAATTCAATGTTTAACTCTACTTATGTTGTTTTTGTGTGTGCATCTTTTTTGATTATTTGATGTACTTCCAGTACACTGAACACGGTAGCATCCTCTGAATATTTTTTGTATTAAGCACACTAATTGCGGCGCATAATGATAATCTGTGTACGTACGTATGTAAACTTTGCGTTGCGTTATTATTATTTCGTTATTCCATTTATAGATAATATTTTGTGTACGATATGTGTGTACAGTGCAGATTTTGTTTATTTTTAAGCCGATTTTATAAGAGTCCATTACAATGAGACTGACACAGGAGATGAGAGGAGAATGACGTATCCCATACTTGTACACATAGCAGAAACATTCGTTAAGTAATCAGGATTAGGCAAATGTTTAGAATTTTATGAATGTAAATTCTCATACAATGTTTAGAAACAATGGGATGCGTGATTCCATCAGTTATATAATTTCATTTTATTTTAAGCTTACAAAAAATAATTTATTTGGATTAATTTAATTTATTGAGCTATTTTGTGCGTCAGAATTCTGAATAAAATGCAGCATCAATTGTGTTAGTCACTCGACAACTGATTGACTCTACAGTTTCGTGTGTATATAAATTGAGACAATTGAACTCTGATAATTTTAAGACTCTTCTGGGACACTGTGAATCTTGCAGTGCAAAAAACTGTATAAAAACACCATTAAAACTTACAACTTGTCCATTTCAAGCAAGTTGGACCAGTTTTACTTTGTTAATTTGTTTGTCAGAATTTTCAGTTTCAAAATATTGAATGAATGGCGTCATCCTTTTGATGGGATCAAAAAATAGTGACTGGCATGAAGACAGGTTGGTTTTTAGCGAGTCAAGGCTTATGGAACGGGTGTGTCTGTGTGTCTATCTGAGACACGGTAGTGGACGAACCACTCGTCCGATTTTGACCAACTTGGTGCTGAAATGCGTATCTCAATAGGGCTTTGAATGATTTCGAAGATGGATAAAATCCGCCAATTGGTTGACCATTTAAGTGGATGGGGTATTAAAAAGCATTAGAAAGCTGAAAAATTTGGTACACAGATTGCTAATTGCTAAACGTGAGCAAATTGTAACCAGAATGACTCTTGACACATACCGTTTTTAAAATTTGTTATTTTCAGTTGAAATTCAGAAATTCTACGAACTTTGGAAGTTCAAAAATTTTGAAGTAACGAGCCCTGCTGGCCCTTCAAGGGGGAGGTTTTTTAAATGCTTCAAAGAATTGGTGCCAACCAATAGAAAATATTTAACAAACATACACGGGGGTGGTGAAAGTCCGACCAACTCATACAAAAATTTAGAAGTGGACTCTGTCCCTAACTCGGGCTAAATGAAGGCCGCACTGTAGATTTTTAATACTAAACTAAAAGCCCACAAATTGAACTGAACACCAAAGTGGTTACATATATATGTTGACGAAAGCAAAATAAGAGTGTTGCCTGTCGTTCAAGGAGGAGTCAATATTCAATTAAATTATATCTGGTTCAATAAAATGAACTTCTGCTGTTATAACGTTGACGTTTTACCACGACCACATGCCATTCATTTTTTCCCCTCTATTTTAAAAGCTCTCTCGGACTTGAAGTGAAAATTAAATTAGAAAAAAACCTGAGAGAGAAGTTTTTCTCCTTGATCAAAACTGTTATCCTATTGCCTCTTGGTACATATTTCTGTCACAGAGACCTTGACAAGCCGTGAATATTTCAATGGTACACGTTTACTGCGTTCATTTCCATTATTATTATGCGTTCAATTAAGCATTGAAACTTTAAAATGACGAATGCATCCCTGTAGTATTTAACCTCTTTCAAGGATCGTTCACCCTGTTTTAATGCCTTATTCGGCATTGTAGTTGATACACAGAACACAACAATTAAGCAGCTCAACTTAAAATTTTATGGACAAGTCGGCTCTCGAGTCAAAAAGCCATGATCTCACAAAATGAAAATGACATGCTCAAATCGGCTCAATAGAGAGACAACAACTAAATACAAAGGCAATCTTAACGACTTAAGTATGCAAACTGAAATGGCTAGGCTACATGCTATTCTTCTCCAGTTAACGATTCTTCTCGACATTAATGTTTGCCTTTCTTTGCCACCTCTTAACATTATTAACGACGATGACGTCTCTCTCTCTGAATAATAAAATGTCAAATGGTTCCTTGCTAGCACATATTTAGCAATCTATATAATCCGCAAAAAGGCAATTTGTTCCTCCGACATGGATTACACCTGGTGGAGCAGAATAGAGATGGAAAATGTGTTGTATATATGAAGTAGGAAGGTCAAAGTGCTCAAGTCCGTTTTATTGCCTGTATAATGATGACATGATTCCACTAAACGTTGTAATTTTTGGCCACGACGCTAATCCTCTGGCCCAGTAATAATGGGATGGGTTACACAAGATTGACTGAACAATTGTCATTTAGAGCAGGATGGATTGGATGGATGGCATGAACTCGGTGCAATAAAGTGACGCTGGTCGCATGACGGATGGAGGATGGGATATATTTTGTAACAAGTATGCTTATTTACTTGCTACCGTTAGTATTACCAGCTATACATAAGAATTATATTAAACTTTGCGTGATACTTTCTCCACTTTCTCTACAAAAAGTGCAAGGGTAAAAAAACAGGAAAAAATTACCAGTCACTCCAGCGTTGAAATAAAGATTTCCGGCTGTCTGGTCTGGTTTTGATAAGAAAATGAAGAAATGTCTCCGCCCTTCTCGTCAATCTTGCACTGTGGTTATTTATTATTTATAAAGAAGAGTTTGATAATAATTCGTTGTCTGTCGCCGTCCTTCAAATATGGAACTTGCTGTGTAAACAGTTCTCCGTTATGTTAACTCCACTTATCACAAGAAGACTGTTTGCATAATAATAATTTAGACCAGATACTCTTGTGGATTGGACAGATTCGTGTGCATTCAATTCATTAAAGTTTTATCCTACTTTACGTATTATAAGGCAACCTATATTCTCAGCACTTGCTCTCCAGCTCGCTCAATACTGTTCCTCCTCTCGGAATTATGATAATTTAGTTGTCTGATTTAATTTAATCTGTTTCTCCACCAATGAACCACACAACCTTGTTTTCTTCATCAACTACTGTAAGTATCTTAGGAGAGGAGAGATAGACAAAAGTCATGATATTTATTCGGTCACACTGATTACTAAAAATCACGTCGTTTTTTTAACACGACCTTCAGGTAAATAAATAAATACAACCCATCACGAGAAGAAGAAGACGATCATTTCGTGAGTAAAATACAACAATGTCTCTTAAAAAAACGCACCAAAACTGACTCTTTATAATAGCACGACCCCACCAACAAGAAAATAATAAAGGAGGGAGCACCTACTTAATTCGCGTGAGTAAACTTTAGGGCCGTTTTGTTTCGTATCTAATTTGGGAATCCCACTCAGGAGAAGACAATTGACACCACAATTGACTTAATTCACCACATCACCTCGGCTATCTATTTTTAGCTAATTGTGAAAATTCTATCACATTATTCTGTCTCTCGCTACTGTAAATTAGGAATTTCTTTCGACTCTGATTTTTTTTCTATCTTGACAAAAAACTAACAGATTTTTCACCTCCTTCCTTATTTAGTAATCTCTTCAACTATTTACCTCCCCCAAAAAATATTTATTTATTTCAATACAATCCTTCTTCTCGGACTCTCTTCTTTCCAACCAAAACCAACACTTCTTTTGTTCAAGCTTGAGAAAAAGAACGACTTCTTCTTTTTGTGCCGAGTCGCAATGGCAAAGTGGTGGATGGATGGATGGAGAAGTTTTTAAGGGAGAAGAAGAAGAAATCTAAGCAGGTTTTAGTCGAATCAGATGTCAGAATGGTAGTAGTAGCTAGCCCACCAAGCTGTACGATATTATAAGAGGACAAAACACATCAGGCAGGAATACTAGTAGTTTAGTTGGTAGCACAGGAAAGAGTTGGCAAGTTTTGCGGGGAAGAGAAGACGGAGAAGTTGCACGGCGAAAGGGGTTTACTTTATGTGGAGTGGATATAAAACTAGCAGAAAGTGCTGGAGGAGGTGTATATGCAATGTATGTGTGTATTATACGTAATGCAGTGCAGCAGCTCAGGAAACGATATACCAACAACTATGAACTAAAAGGATTTTCGCAGGCATATAGATGAAGGAGAGAAGGACTAAGCGAGAAGCTAAAACTAAGTAGTAGTACTTTGCAAAACCACGTAGCAGCTATAACTACATATGCTTTTTGGTAGTTAAGTAGTAGTTATATACGATTTTATTGGCAAACATATTTACGACTATATCCACTCGGAAGGGGAAAGGAAACAAACACCGGTGGAGTGAAGGATAATATGTATCGATATCAGCAAGCACCACCACCACTACCACCAACTAGAAGGGAGAAATAATCGGGAGCAAGTAAGTATACACCGGAGAAAGCAACACGCTAGATGATAAGGTTCAAATTACGGCTGAATTACTCAATAGGGACATATGGATGGAAAATATAGGGTATGTTCATTGTTGCAATTATTTTTACCCCTTTTTGCATTCCTGCCATTTTTCCGTTCGTGTAATTAATTCTGGATGCAGCAAAGCAAGTGGAGAAAGTCGGCTAGTTATGATTTATGATGGTTTGTTTTGG